TATGTGCGCACGTGAACGCACATATGTGTACATGTGGACCACACATATGTGCACACGCGAACACACACACACACACATATATATATATATATTTATATGCGCGCCCGGAACACGCACACACACACACACACACACACATGCGTACACCTGGAACACATATGTGTGTATGTCTGGAAAGCACATTTCTGTTCACCTGCAACACACATATGTGTTCACCTGGAACCCATATATGCGCTCACTTGGAACAGGCATTTGTGTTCACGTGCGACCCTGGTGCAGACCTGGATCACACAAGCATGTTTAACCAGAACAAACTTCTGTGTTGACTTGTAACACACATATGTGTACACATGGAACACACGTGTGTGCACATGTGGAGAAACATGTGCAACACAAATGTGCAACACACATGCGTTCACCTGGACAACAAAAATGTGTTCACATGGAATTTACATTTCCTGCACGCCTGGGCGACACATAAATCAAGTTCCCGAAGCCGGCTGTGAGGCGCTATTCCATGGGGCTCTGCCTTGAACAACGCTTGTGTTTTATATGCGTGTTCCAAGTAGGAAAATAGTGTTCGTGTACGATCAATCTAGCTTTTTTGCAACACATTGCTAGCGCGCGAGCCTGCTGCTGCTGCTGCTACTACTGCTAGTACTATCAGTATCGGATGCGTCTCCAGCAGTTACAGGCTTCAGCTTAGCAAAAGCTTTCCGGCGCATTGCGCTTCTTTCTCGCTTAGCTGCACAGTGTCTTTCGTATCGATTGCTAAAGTGCTTTGATCGTATTGTGGCAACTCTTCGTATCGATTCAGTAAAGCATTTGCTTTCGCAGGGAAATACGCAACCCAATTCTTCCGTATGCTCGGTACAAGGCATCCCTGCCGTCTTGCCTCAGCCGTTGTTTCTCCCCTTTGTCCAGCAAATCGCACTCCATGATAATTGCATGCGAGGAGAGCGGAAGCAAATTTGGATTGAAGCGTAACTGGGAACCGGTCACAGCTGACCACTGCGCTAGCGCCTTGCTAGCGCGCGGCTAGCGCGGGTTCGCCGTATTTTTTGGAGTCACGGCGACCATCTGTGTGGATTTGACAAATTAAGGCCACGTAAGATGAAGGTAAACGTGCGGGCTGGCTTCAAGTACTAAGCAAGAACTGCAACATTACACCCTTGAAAGCCACGCAAAGCCCATCGCGGCAACCCACGCGCCAACTCTTGGAAACCAAGATCACCGAAAACCCTAGCGCAAACCAAGCGCCATCCTAGCGCCTCCAGTGGGGAGCGGGCAATCCATTGGTATTTGCAGGACTCCGCTTTGTGTGAATGAAAAACTGCACAAAGTGACTGCGACGGTGGCCGCTGTAGACTAAACCCCCTTACTAGGAATTTTGACCGGATCGCATATGTGTTTTATCAGAACAATCGCATGCTTTCACCTGGAACACAAACATGTGCTGACGTGGAACACACTCATGTGGTCACATGCAAAAAGTGCGTGTTCACTTGGAACGCGCCGATGTGGTCAGCTGGAACACACCAAGAACACACAATCATTTACTTGAAGCACTCGTACGTGCATCCGCAGCATGCTGCTTGCAAGCGCACGCGCGCGCTCAAACACACGTTTCTGAGCCTCAAACACACATGCGTGCCCGCGGAATACACCGCGAATGACCAGGGAGCCGTGCCAGGCATCCAGGCTGGGGGACAACAAGAAGGAGACAAAGGGAGACAAATGAACCCGTCCGCCCGGAGCGCGCCAGACATCCAAGCTGGGAGACAAACGAATCCGTCCACCCAGAGAGCCGTGACAGGCATCCAGGCTGGGAGACAACCGGGGCCAAATAAAGGGAGACAAAGGGAGACAAATGAATCTGTCAGGCAAATGAAGGGAGAGGAACCCGTCCGCCGGGAGAGCCGGGACAACCCCAGGTGCCAAGAGCACCACTGGGTATCTCGGCGTAGGTTCGTTGAACATCATCAAAGAATCGATAGACGATTTAACTCCAGCGTGATTCACGTTTGTTTCACCGGGGGGTTAACAGAGCCTTCTCGTAGCTGAAGCCGTGCACCGCAGCGCACCGCTCTCGTCAGCTCGGGACTCCAAATGCGAGCAAGGACAGAGAGAGGCCGCAACTGATAACGAGGCACTGAACGAACAGACAGGGTGTAGCCAACGATAGACAAGGAAGACGACCCACCACGAGCCCAAGCAAAATCGAAGTCCAGATGAAGGGCAGACAGAGGACCCTGTCCCCAACATCCACAAGACAAGGAATGACCGAAGCCAGGGCCGAAGCCGAAGGCAAACCAGACCCCGCCAAAAGGACAGAACCGCGGGAAGTGAAGGAAACCGCGGAGCGTGAGTGCCACACATCCAGGCTGGGAGACAACGGGAGACAAATGAATCCGTCCACCCAGAGGGGCATCCAGGCTGGGAGACAACGGGAGACAAACAAAGGGAGACAAAGGGAGACAAATGAATCCGTCCACCCAGAGAGGCATCCAGGCTGGGAGACAACGGGAGACAAATAAAGGGAGACAAAGGGAGACAAATCAATCCGTCCACCCACAGAGATGGGAGACAAATGAAGGGGAACCAAGGGAGACAAGTGAATCCGTCCGCCTGGAGAGCCGTGACAGACATCCAGGCTGGGAGACAAGGGGAGCCAAATGAAGGGAGACAAAGGGAGACAAGTGAAACTGTCCACCCAAAGAGCCGTGCCATTGGGAGACAACGGGGGACAAATGAAGGGAGACAAAGGGAGACAAGTGAATCTGTCCGCCTGGAGAGCCGTGCCAGACATCCAGGCTGGGAGACAACGGGAGAGAAATGAAGGGAAACAAAGCCCAGAGAGCCGTGCCAGACAAATGAAGGGAGACAAAGGGAGACAAATGAACCCGTCCACCCAGAGAGCCGTGCCAGGCATCCAGGCTAAGAAGCAACGGGAGACAAATGAAGGGAGACAAAGAGTGACAAATGAACCCGTCCACCCAGAGAGCCGTGCCAGGCATCCAGGCTGGGAGACAACGGGAGACAAATGAAGGGAGACAAAGGGAGACAAATGAACCCCTCCACCCCAGAGAGCCGTGACAGGCGTCCAGGCTGGGAGACAACCGGGGCCAAATAAAGGGAGACAAAGGGAGACAAATGAATCCGTCAGGCAAATGGAGGGAGAGGGAGACAAATGAACCCGTCCGCCGGGAGAGCCGGGACAACCCCAGGTGCCAAGAGCACCACTGGGTATCTCAGCGTAAGGTTCGTTGAACATCCTCGAAGAATCGATAGAGGATTTAACTCCAGCGTGATTCACGTTTGTTTCACCGGGGGGTTAACAGAGCCTTCTCGTAGCTGAAGCCGCGCACCGCAGCGCACCGCTATCGTCAGCTCGGGACCGCAACTGATAACGAGGCACTGAACGAACAGACAGGGTGTAGCCAACGATAGACAAGGAAGACGACCCACCACGAGCCCAAGCGAAATCGAAGTCCAGATGAAGGGCAGACAGAGGAGGACCCTGTCCCCAACATCCACAAGACAAGGAATGACCGAAGCCAGGGCCAAAGCCGAAGGCAAACCAGACCCCGCCAAAAGGACAGAACCGCGGGAAGTGAAGGAAACCGCGGAGCGTGAGTGCCACACATCCAGGCTGGGAGACAACGGGAGACAAATGAATCCGTCCACCCAGAGAGCCGTGCCAGGCATCCAGGCTGGGAGACAACGGGAGACAAATAAAGGGAGACAAAGGGAAACAAATGAATCCGTCCACCCACAGAGATGGGAGACAAATGAAGGGGAACCAAGGGAGACAAGTGAATCCGTCCGCCTGGAGAGCCGTGACAGACTCCAGGCTGGGAGACAACAGGAGCCAAATGAAGGGAGACAAAGGGAGAAAAGTGAATCTGTCCACCAAAAAAACAGTGCCAGGCATCCAGGCTGGGAGGGACAAACGGGGAGACAAATGAAGGCACCCAGAGAGCCGCGCCAGGCATCCAGGCTGGGAGACAACGGGAGACAAATGAAGGGAGACAAAGGGAGACAAATGAACCCGTCCACCCAGAGAGCCGTGCCAGGCATCCAGGCTGGGAGACAACGGGAGAAATCAAGGGAGACAAAGGGAGACAAATGAACCCGTCCACCCAGAGAGCCGTGCCAGGCATCCAGGCTGGGAGAGAACGGGAGACAAATGAAGGGGACAAAGGGAGACACATGAACCCGTCCACCCAGAGAGCCGTGCCAGATCCAGGCTGGGAGACAACGGGCGACAAATGAAGGGAGACAAAGGGAGACAAGTGAATCTGTCCACCCAGGCATCCAGGCTGGGAGACAACGGGAGACAAATGAAGGGAGACAAAGGGAGACAAATGAACCCGAGCCGCGCCAGGCATCCAGGCTGGGAGACAAATGAAGGGAGACAAAGGGAGACAAATGAACCCGTCCACCCAGAGAGCCGTGCCAGGCATCCAGGCTGGGAGACAACGGGAGACAAATGACAAAGGGAGACAAATGAACCCGTCCACCCAGACTGGATCATCCAGGCTGGGAGACAACGGGAGACAAATGAAGGGAGACAAAGGGAGACAAGTGAACCCAGGGAGACAAACGAACGCGTCCACCCAGAGAGCCGTGCCAGGCATCCAGGCGGGGAGACAACGGGAGACAAATGAAGGGAGACACAGGGAGACAAATGAACCCGTCCACCCAGAGAGCTGTGCCAGGCATCCAGGCTAGGGCTTGGCAACAGGCGAGCCACCTTAAATGAATTTAGAACCCCTCACAGTAAACTGTTTGGGGAATAATGAGGCCGGATGTATGCACATGTGCGTGTTGTCATGTTGCTCCTAAGAATGTGATAGGTCACGCCTCGAACACCGCAGATGCGTGCCTCCCTTGTTGCACAAGCAGCTTGACAGGAAACACGTCAGCAGCCAAAATCGAGGAAGCCTTGCGCACTAGAACCCAAGGAAAATGAATTGACTGATGCTCCCCCTCCTAGCCTTCAGAGCTGGTAGCACTGTGGTTTGCTGCAGAAGATGCAGCAGTTCGGAAGGTGGGTCCTCCAAAGGCAAGCCGAGCAAAGCAACTTAAGTAGCTCGGCGACTCATGCCTTAGACAAGGCCTCAGGCCAAAAGGCAGTGGGTCAAAAATGTGTTCGAAAATGGAACCCCGGTAAATGGAACCAAAGACTGAAGCCTGCGGTCCCCTGGTGTTTTTTTGTTTTTTTTACCCAGACCCAAAAAGATGCACACATCTAGGACTTGGTTTTCCCTCCTCAAGGCATGCAAAGTCCGCAACTCGCTCGAGCGTTGCGCGCTCAAAGGCATTGACCAAAACGTCGGACTCGAAGTTCAGGGCCAGCTTGGAGCGAAGGAAGGAAAACTCCAAGATCTTCTTCAGACCGTTGCCTCGCTTTTCCACGCCCACGAAACCATGTGAATAGCCACATCCGTTTAGAAATTGAAGAAAGTGAATGGGTTCCGTGTCTTTCAAGCTTTGTGACTCCATTCCTTACCTCCAGAGTGATCTGATGGAATAACTGCTGGAAAGAACTGGCCAAAGGGAGGAAAGGGATGGGTCTCTCTGCTGGGAGGGGGAAGGAAAAAAACAATCCATCACATGTCAATCAAGGGTTTTGTGGCTGGGTCAGTTGCCAGGTAAAGGATGAAGTGAACTTTCAAAGCCCGGTCTGGTCATCCCAGCCTTACAATTGCGATCACTGCTTTCACCCAGCCCTTTCCAAAGCCCAGGCCCTTTTGCAGGAACCGATTGCCAATCCCTTGCCAAGTGCCTCTATTGCCCTCCGGATCCCTCCCGCCAGGATGCAAAGCAACAAAAGAAGAGTGCAAACGCACGGCTTGGCCAGCAACAGCCGGGTGTCCTGCCGCTAGGTGGTGCGGTTGCTCTCATGCAAGATCAAAAGCGCCAGTTGACGTTTCCTTTTCTCACTTGCCCAAAGGACCTAGGAATAAAAGGTTCATTAACCGTTTAGGGGCCATGACTAAAAATGGACCAAAAAAGAAAAACCAAAAGGTTAAACGGTCGGCGTTGGGCAACTGAGTTCAGGAGCCATGGTGAGCATAGGTGCGGCGGTGCGACACCCGAAGCAGAAGCATCTTGCTTGCCCCAGGGCTGCTACTTTTGGTGGCATGGCTTCTTGGAGCCCTGCGTTTTTTCAAGGGTCGGGGGGCTGGGGAAGTGGCAAAGAAAGCACTGGTTTGCATGGCTGCGCCACTCAATCTGCAGAAATTCCCACGCGGGCACGCGAATCAGCTCAAAGCTGTGTGTCCTTGTTTACCCGGGGGCTGCCCTGGGACCGGGCAACATCCACGTCCATCTAAGCTGGCGTCGTGTGCTTGCCTTGTGGGGCTGACTTTAGGCCGGCAGGTGAAGCAAATGTGCTTGGTCTGGGTGGGAGTGGAGTTGAGATTTGTGGCTGAGACAGGTCCGGGGTTGGTTTTGGTCCGGGGTAACTTGGGGTTGGGGGTTGGCGTTGTAGGCTGAAAATACCGAACACCCTGTGCAAGCGAGCCGACCCCTGTTTTCAGCGCCCACCACCGCCAATGGACAAAAACACCCAAAAGTATGTATGTGGTCCCCCCCAAGCACAACATACAACACACCATCAACTGCCAGCACTGTTTCGGCTGGGAAGATCGAAACAAGCTTGCAGGTGGATTGCTCCTGTGGCGGACTCCACCACGAGAAATTCACAGACCACGCGCAAATGATCGCGATTGCTGCACGCTCCTCTGAGAAAAGGATACCATTCCTGTCACAAGCGGACAGGAATAGCTGAGCCCTTGCATGAAACAACTCTCCGCCCTGGGGTACATATTTTGATAATGTTCCTTCGAGTGGACAATTATCCCCCTGTAGCTTCCGCCAATGCACACAAGCACAAGGCACGAATGAAGCAATTGTCCTTTGCCGCAATGCTTCAAGCCCAGTAAGCATGCCCGCTTTTGTTGCTTTCACTCTCACTCACTTGCAAGAACTGGCGCTTGTCGGCGCTTGGAACCCCGTAAGTTGCCACGATCTGCGCTGAAACGATCTATCCACAGGACACTCCACAGGGGTATGGCCTGACCTCGAACCGTGGAAAATGATCCTCCAATACTCATAGCCACAGCCACAATGCCAGTTCAACGCGCTACTTAGCCTTATCAACTGGCAGCTCCTGGTTTGGAGCCACACAGCCACTTGTAGGAACCGCCAGATGAAAGTCATTGGAGGAGGGTGCTTGCTGCTCTGTTTGGCGCTCGCCATTTCGTGCGCGGCCCCCGTTGCCGCAATCGGGCCATGGCGCGCGCCTGCAGTGCGATTGGAGCCCCATCCACTCCCGCCCCCCCCCGTTGCCCAATCCCCCGCCCCAAAAAGAAATCCGAGCCGTTGCCTCCAATCCCCAGCCCAAAGATCGCTCGCGGCCCATTGATCTTTCGAGGCTCAAGTAGATGATCTTCTCCGCCCGTCTCCAGCCAACACCCCTGGAGGCTCGCAAGGCCACGGTGGTGAGCACTTGGAAGGCGAAGCCCAAGATCAAGTAGCCTGTCCAGTCCCCCAGTCCGCTCCACTCCAGCCCACCCCACCCCAGTCCAAGAGCCCAGGCAGCCGGCCAAAAAGCGCACCGAATGCAATGCACCTAATATGAGAACCAGGCGAGTGTTGTTTCCTGGCACGGAAACGCTTTATTCTGCCATTAAAACCTCTACATGAGCTTGTTCTGCTCCCACTTTCCCTCGCTGCAACTAAACTAGCTACACAGTACAATTGCTGCCGCAAAGCAGCGGAGGAATGGTGCACTCGCATCGAAAGGAACATTGGATTGGGTGACCATCTGCCGAGCCGCTGAGACTAGCTGCAGAGGCATGGGTCAGCAATGTCCTCATCTGCCTCGGGAACAACGCGATGCATCAGCATGCAAAGCCAGCCTACAACGGTGAGGCCAGGCTTGGATTCCCATGTCAGAAACTGTCCTGTGCAATCACATCATTCAGCAATAGCAGCGTACATGGCGCTCTTAAAAACGCAGAGGGGTACTGCACGTCGAGGAAAACCCATGATCTAGAAATCGCATCATTACTGCTCAGTATCTCGATCCATGCATATTCACATTGCCCCATCATGAGCAAAGCTTATGCACCGTGGTTGCCCCATGAGCAAACATGTGGACACCTCCACTGCATCATTCAGAATTCCGCCACGGCAGTTGCCTGAGTAACAAAATCAGCACCCCCACCACATCTCAAAGTGTTCCGACACTATTTGTTTAGCCGAGGGTTGTTCATCCAAACTGCCAGGCCGCATCTCAAAACTAGAACTTCCAACACCCAAGGCCGATCGTGCACAACCAAGAGACCATCACACGTTGTGCTCAACAGCACCATACAGCAACCACCTTGGCAGCATAGGGTTCTGCCAGGCTCGAAGCCCCCCAACACCTGCAAAAAACACGATAAGTTCACTGGATACTTAGCTTCTGTCACATGGGTGTGGCTCAAAATTATACAGGAGGGGTTACGCAGGTGTTGGTCCATGTTTCCACTTACCAGGGTTCCATTGTGGTACCGTTTTTTCTTTCTGAGCCACAGCCACATGCGTCCCAGACATGTTGCGTCTCCACTGAACACCGCGGCTACGCCGTGCCTAGCCAATCGCTTCGAAAGCGACACGCCCGAGCTGCTCGTAGAAGCTGAAGCGGTGCAGCGCCCAGGGATGCCAGTTCTTGCGGCTGCTCGCTGTGAAGAGCTCGGAAGGGCCGGGAAGGGCGGAAGGGCGGGCGATGGTGCGAGAGATGCAGGGAATGAGAAATGGAATGAACCTGAAAATTCCCATGCAGGAAACCAGAGGGGATGGTTTGTAGGGGTCCTTCCCTCATTCCCGTTCAGTGTGGAAACCCTCTTTAAGAGGATCCTCACTTGTTTCCATTCTGAAAGGGGAAAAACGAAATCCATGTTGGACTTGTACCCCCCACAAGTAACAACGACAAGGAGAATGACAGCATGCATAATGTGTAGCAACAATGTATTGCGCATACAAGTATACGGCCAACGAAAAACTTCAGGCGAATGATTGGTCAGCAACCGCATTGCCTCACATGAGCCTCTCCATGCTTGCGACTGAGCGCGTGGCAATGAAGGGGAGCAAAAGGACAAACGTCTTCAAGATCCTAGCGCTGGCTCAGGCACGCGTTGGCACTGCAAACGCTGGAAAACCCTTGTTTTGGGGCATCTTCGCCTCCCGTCATTCATTCTCCCACGTGTTTTTTCTATGTACTTCACGCTGACCAAGAAGCCGGCACCAAGCCAAGACAGTCCTCCGCGGACGGGCTGCTTGCGTGGCTGCTGTGAGCAAGCCTCCCCAGGACAGGCTTTCGTCCAAGTTCTCCAGGTGCTCGAACCTGGTGAAAACCGCGAAGAAATCAACTCTAGCTGTACCTTCCCCATTCAACGATGGGACGAGCATGGGGAATCAAACCTTGGATCACTGCGAGCAATCAGCCTTCACAACACCAGAATTCCCTGGTGGGAGGCCTGCTTGCGGGAGGGGGATCAAAACCCTGACTGTCATAGACTGCCCGCATCAACCAAGCAGGATTCCCTTCGAAGTATCTACATTGCTCATTGACTCCAACGTTGCCCACTGTCATCCCAAGCTCTGCCAACAACTTGCCAGACTCACTTGGACCAGCTGTCAGTAACGCAGCATTTGATGGTCTGGGTGCCGCACATAGAGGCGACACGCTTCGCCTCCTCCTTGGGTCATCAATGGTGTAAACACTCACGCGGCCATCTGCCACGTGAAATCAATGAAAAAAGTGGCCCATGGAAAGATTGAATGTCCACTCTTCCTTGTGCTTAGAAAAGCCCAACATTGGTTTCAGCTCGTGGCAGTCCTCTGTCCAAGCACTTACACACGGGAACCCGACGCTCAACTTGCGGCTCACTTCCCAACATTGCTCCATGTGGAGCCACGTGCGCATGCTCCCAGGCCCCGAAGCCAATGCGCAGGATGTCCCCCCCCTCCCCCCAGGCCGAGCTACAAAGTCTCGCCGAATCTGCTGGCGCGGCTGCACATACTGTGACTGCGAGGAACGGCGTCCACTTCTCCTTGGCATAGCAGCGAAATGTCAATGAACCAACAGAAGCAACACCAGGCACTTTCACAAAAACGATGCAAAAAGCCGCCTTCAAATGTAAAGAGGTGGCCAAGCCCCGCGCTATGAAATTCAAAAGGATGCAAATCAATATCCCCTCCTTGCTTCCTGGGCTTGTCAGAATTGAAGTCAGGCCTGTTGTGGTGCAACTGAACTCAGCATAAACAGTGCACTTATCCTCGTAATACCTCTGAAGTGACGGCGATCCGTCAGGCAGGGCCAAGGCGGACCGAGAGCTTGCAAACACAAAAAGCCAACAAGTACCGGGCGGCATGAGAACATGTCTGCTTTTCCTCCGGGCATCTTGGTGCTTGGCTGTACTAGTGCAGCAGCTTTAGAAGCCGGTTCCTTTTGTACTGTACACTCGTTGTGCTCGGCCGAGCTCATCAACTGTCTAAAACCTGTTAACAGTTGGCACAGTCTGGCCACAACCCTTGCATCCCAGAAGAAACAAAAGAAAAAGAAAAAAAAACGGAAGAAAAAAAACGACTCCGCCCGCTGGCTCACTGCATGCAGCTGGGCATCTTCGTACCCCAGGCATCAGCCCAGGCCTCTGATAGCGGCTGCGTGGACAGGGGCCGGTCTTCCATCCGCGACATGCCCATCGCAAGGAGGGGCCGACAAAAGCCAATGGGGCCGAGAAAAACGATGCCCAAGGTCAATGAGGCTGGTGGACCGTTCATGACAGTTCATCCGGCGCCAATGGCAATCCATTTTGTGACTCGCCCTTCTTCGCAAGACGGAAACCGCCAGAAAGGCGCGCCTGTTTTGTTTGAGTGCCGGCCATTCTTGATGGGTTGTTGAATAATTGTCATCTGTGTGTTGCTGATGCCTGGCAGCTGTTCAGCCTCAATGTTACAAAGAAATGCGCGCCGCACCACATGGAACTGCGAATGATGTGAGCCTACTCAAGACGAGTGCAACATCCAGCTCTACACTGCAGGCATAGTTCATGTCAATTCCCCTTATCACGCAAGCCCAAAAGCTGGGTCTGCTCAGGCATGCAGGTCTGGCAGCAAGTCACCTGTATTTTTTGCGAGGCCGTGGATGGCGCAGTTGCAAGTGGCGCAGCGTCATGCCAGTGAATAGGAGTACCTTACAACTGACTGTGGGCACAGAGGGGTATTGGTTTTGGAAAAAATCGGGCTCCAAATCAAACACGTTCATGTGCCGGGAATCTTCAGGGCCCTTGGCTTCTTGATTTTCTATTGCCTGCCCTGCTTGTTCTTGACAAAGAGAAAGCAGTGGTATGCTCCCGTTATGTTTTTCTCAGGCATCATCGCGACAACCTGTCACTGGCTCGCGGCGGCCCTGGTTGTCACATGAGAGAATGACCGAAAAATACCCTTGGTGTAACAATCGTCGCTCTCGTTTGACCGCGTTGCTAGGCTCAAAGCACGCATGGAACATTTGCAGCCGCGGAGCGTGAGACATGTCCTCAGGCTATGAGCCGTTTTATGCCCGCTGAATCAGGCCAATCTCATTTCAGGAATTGCTGCAAGTCCTGCAGAAACCAAGGTCATGCAGCCAACCCGAACCCGGCACAATGCTGTGAGACTGAGTTGAGAGAAAGCGCTTCTTGCTATGACATGATTCATGCGCCAAGTCAGTGCACTCTTTACAACAAAGAGCACTTCTTCGAGGTGCCTGACAGATCTTGCTGCTGAGCTCGCACTGGCCTTTACCATCATTCACAGCCTGGACCTGCAGCAAAAAGCGGGTGTTCAGCATAGGACGCACATATCACGGCTTGGTTCTGCTGCCAGTAGCCCAGCTTTGACATTTCCATCGCTGCAGAACTATCTTTAAGATCCATGTTGAGAAATGAGGTAAACCAAAAGATGGAACAGGTTTCGCCGCAAATGTTGTGCTGAGGCCATGTCTCTGGCGAAATTGCGCAACGTGCGCATCATCTCTTCATCCGCCTACGTGGCAAGGCGACGTGAATGGAAATGACCCTCCCTGCGCGGCCTAGCAACGTTCACACAACGTGGCACAGTCGCCATCGGAGAACTTTTCCGAAAAGCTCAATGCTTGGGAAATAACCAAGATCAAAATCACGGCATTCTTTTCGGAAACCAGCTGCTGGCCAAAGTACAGGAGCCTCTGGGCATTCTCAAGTCCAAGTAAAGTTGTGTTGATCGTGGCCTCTCTCCCAAATCAGCCCTTGAAACTTACGCTCTCCAGGCAGCCATGGTAAGTGTCGGCCCAAGCCCAGACTCATGTGCCTGCGGTAGCAGCGGGCATGCTGCATTCTGAAGCTCAATGTCGGAAGGAATCGGCGCCTTGCCAGTCTCAATCAGGAACCATGTCGGCGACCAGCGGCCCACAAATGAGTCTTTTTTGAGACCATTGGTGGCTTTGCTGGAAACCAAAAAGAATAGCCCCATTTAGTTGTGTTTCTTTCTTTTTGTTGGGGTGGGTCCAACTTTGAAAAGCACACACCCAGAGGCTTCCCGATCTGGGCCCCGAGCTGGCCCGGCTTGCAGGCAATCCATGTGACCTGCCTGTCATGCAGGCGAGAGAGACAGAGGCACGGTGGCGGCCCGTTTTTCAGAGAAGGGGGGGGGGAAATCGAACCAAAAAATCCGGCCGGCCCTAAAATCTGCAACCAAAATCTGCCGGCCCTAAAAATCTGCGGACCCAAAAACTGCAACCAAAATCTGCCGGCCCTAAAAACCGGCCGGAACGAAAATCTGCAACCAAAATCTGCCGGCCCTAAAAATCTGCTGACCCAAAAACTGCAACCAAAATCTGCCGACCCTAAAAATCTGCTGACACTAAAAACTGCAACCAAAATCTGCCGGCCCTAAAAATCTGCGGACCCAAAAACAGCAACCAAAATCTGCCGGCCCTAAAAACCGGCCGGCACGAAAATCTGCAACCAAAATCTGCCGGCCCTAAAAATCTGCTGACCCAAAAACTGCAACCAAAATCTGCCGACCCAAAAAATCTGCTGACACTAAAAACTGCAACCAAAATCTGCCGGCCCTAAATATATGCGGACCCAAAAACAGCAACCAAAATCTGCCGGCCCTAAAAACCGACCGGCCCTAAAATCTGCAACCAAAATCTGCCGACCCTAAAAATCTGCCGACCCTAAAAACTGCAACCAAAAACTGCCGGCCCTAAAAATCTGCTGACACTAAAAACTGCAACCAAAATCTGCCGGCCCAAAAAAAATGCGGACCCAAAAACAGCAACCAAAATCTGCCGGCCCTAAAAATCTGCTGACACTAAAAACAGCAACCAAAATCTGCCGGCCCCAAAAAACTGGTGACCCAAAAACAGCAACCAAAATCTGCCGGCCCTAAAAATATGCTGACACTAAAAACAGCAACCAAAATCTGCCGGCCCTAAAAATCTGCTGACCCAAAAACTGCAACCAAAATCTGCCGACCCTAAAAATCTGCTGACACTAAAAACAGCAACCAAAATCTGCCGGCCCTAAAAATCTGCGGACCCAAAAACAGCAACCAAAATCTGTCGACCCTAAAAATCTGCTGACACTAAAAACTGCAACCAAAATCTGCCGGCCCTAGAAATCTGCGGACCCAAAAACAGCAACCAAAATCTGCCGACCCTAAAAATCTGCTGACACTAAAAACTGCAACCAAAATCTGCCGGCCCTAAAAACCGGCCGGCCCGAAAACCTGCAAGCAAAATCTGCCGGTCCGAAAAATCTGCTGACCCAAAAACAGCAACCAAAGTCTGCCGAGCCTAAAAATCTGCTGACACTAAAAACTGCAACCAAAATCTGCCGGCCCTAAAAATCTGCGGACCCAAAAACAGCAACCAAAATCTGCCGACCCTAAAAATCTGCTGACACTAAAAACTGAAACCAAAATCTGCCGACCCTAAAAATATGCTGACCCTAAAAACAGCAACCAAAATCTGCCGACCCTAAAAAATATGCTGACCCTACAAACTGCAACCAAAATCTGCCGACTCTAAAAGTCTGCTGACCCCAAAAACAGCAACCAAAATCTGCCGACCCTAAAAATCTGCTGACACTAAAAACTGAAACCAAAATCTGCCGACCCTAAAAATATGCTGACCCAAAAACAGCAACCAAAACCAGCCGACCCTAAAAATCTGCTGACACTAAAAACTGAAACCAAAATCTGCCGACCCTAAAAATCTGCTGACCCTAAAAACAGCAACCAAAATCTGCCGACCCTAAAAAATCTGCTGACCCTACAAACTGCAACCAAACTCTGCCGACTCTAAAAGCCTGCTGACCCCAAAAACTGCAACCAAAATCTGCCCACCCTAAAAATCTGCTGACCCAAAAAACAGCAACCAAAATCTGCTGACCCTAAAAATCTGCTGACACTAAAAACTGCAACCAAAATCTGCAGACCCTAAAAGTCTGTTGTCCCTAAAAACGGCAACCAAAATCTGCCGACCCTAAAAATCTGCTGACCCTAAAAACTGCAACCAAATTCTGCCGACCCTAAAAATCTGCTGACCCTAAAAAACTGCAACCAAATTCTGCCGACCCTAAAAATCTGCTGACCCTAAAAAACTGAAACCAAAATTTGCCGACCCTAAAAATCTGCTGACCCTAAAAACAGCAACAAAAACTGCCGGCCCAAAAAATCTGCTGACCCTAAAAACTGCAACCAAAATCTGACGACCCTAAAAATATGCTGACCCTAAAAACAGCAACCAAATTCTGCCGACCCTAAAAATCTGCTGACCCTAAAAACAGCAACCAAAAGCCGACCATAAAAATCTGCTGACCCTAAAAACTGCAACCCCAACTCAGACACCAAAACAGCATCGGCATCCCCTTGCCTGCACAGTTTCCAGCTGGAAGCCAGCGGAGGTCAAAAGGCCCCAATCCTGGAGTGACAGGCACAAGAGAGATGCAAGTCTTGCCACTCGCAACCCCTTCCTATCTCTCTCTCTCTCTCTCTCTCTCTCTGCCGTTGCATCCATAAGGTCCCACTCCGTGAGGCAACGCAACAGGCCCCTGCCGCATTGACAAAAGCCACAGGACCAACAAACACTATCCAGCCGGAACAATCAAGGCCCCCCAATTTGTTAAAAGAAAGCTCCCAACAAATCCTGGTCCGTGAATACTAAATGTAGAATAGCCAAGTTGAATCCAATGTCCCCTACCGTCCCCAACTCCTGTCATACAAAACCACTACTAAGCCAATACAACATCCAAAAATATATCACTGATTTCTGCTGGTTAAATTCCCTACTCGGAGGTAGAGGTTTGAACGATGTTTGCGCCCCGAAAGGCGCCGAAGCGGCGCAGAAGAGGACAGACGTAACTCGGGGTGACTAATTATTACAGTACGTTCTCTTCCATTGTTTTAACGGAGGAATAAGGCAGGGGCGCCTTTTATTACTAGGGGGAGGGATTACAACACCTGAACAAAAAACATCTTGAAGTCAACCCCCTCAGCACGTTGTTGGGCACTTACCGTCGCCCACCGGCTTCGCGCCAACTGACCCTTCCCCGTCCGAAACCCATGCGACCCATGGCCTTGCAGTGCTGCGGTTGGCAGGACTCATCCAGCAGCGGGGCGATCGCCATGATGGGCACCTCGATGTTTCGATCCGCAAGGAGCTCAGCCAGCCCAGTCACTCCAATGACACACGAGTGGCTGTGGGGTAAATGGAACCAGGGACGAAAATCCGCGGTCTTTATAGTGGCTGAACTTGATTGTCTGTCCTTTGAGGGTACCCCTTTTTGGTTTTAAAGGGAAGCCACAAGGAAACCTAGGCCTAGGGCCCACTCCCTATGAAGATGTTGGTCAGCTTGCCTGGGAGTTTGGGAGTTTGGAGTTTCGGGGTTTTAACTGATGATTTCCCATTTTATCCTCTACGTTCTAAAGCAAGGCCAAAAGGAAACCAACCATTTCGGGGGTGGAGTCTAGTCTTGAAAAGGACATAGCATTTTTGGCTTGGGAGGACCAACAAACCAATATCATTGGTTTAACAATAACAATCATTTCCATACAAACATGTGTACTTGAATAACACTATATACATGAGTGAAGCAGGCATCCGAGAAGTCTCGACACAACATCTGCGGCCTCTGAGCCACCGTGCTGGCATGACCCCGAAGTCGCGGGCGGGGTCCGGAAACATGGCATCTCGATACTGCACCCGCATTACTTGCAGCATGTCCGCCAGGAACTTGCTGGACTTCATCCTAAGCATTGCTCTCCATGGGGAGTGGAAAAAATGTCAGCACCTTTAAGGACCTTCCAAATAGCTCATGTTCAGCTCTTTTGCGCTTTATTGGCCATGGACGCCCTTTGGTTCGACGAGCTACTGTTCAACACTGAGACCTGTGCTGCTCCTCAAACTCGCTGTCCGAGGTGTCGTACGCAGTACGGTGCAGCAGAATGTTGTCCGGCCTCGGGCGCTGCTACTGCGGCAACAACAACAAACGTCATACGGCACTGCTTGGAACAACTCGGAACTCCTGCAGGTCATGTTGCTGGAAAAATTCCGCCTTCTGTATTGAACCTAAGGAGTAACGGGAACGCGATAGGCAAGTGCCGGGCTGGAGGCTCGAGAACCACTTCAGAAGTTCTCTGTCACCTCGCGTGCGGCCAAGAACGTCCAGTTTCTTAAAGAAGGCGAACAGACTCTGTCATAAGACAAGGACACGGCCGATTCGCATGGAATTGAACGCCAGTAAAAAATACACTTTAAGCAGCAAACGGCCGCATCAAAGGTGCCTAAAACTGGTGCACGGGTGCAAGGTTCCTAGCCATGCAAAGTCTCCAAGGCGCCGTTGCAATGTTTCGTGACATGGCAGGAGAAATGGGAGAATTACACTGCCGGAGGGTTTGGAATCTGGTCCCTTTTGAATGGCAACCTACGCAGCATGGCACTGACTCCCACCATGAGGGAGTGCCAACAGCAGAGTCGTTCCTGCAATCACCAACATCAGCTCAGGGCACTTATTACTCCGAAATCAAAACCACCATAAATTGACCTTGCAGCTTTCGTCGCAAGCTGACGACACTTGGCAGGCCGAAGTGAGATGCCGGCGCGCCTCCTTCCTGGAAGCGCTGGCTCAAGAGCTCCCAGCCGGTTGCTTCGCCGGCGCGCATAGCGCTGCAAGCTGCGATATAAACCTTCTTCCTTGGCAGCTGCGACCGCCCAAAGACGCAAACGGCGCACAATCTCCGGGATGCAACACAATGCTGGAGCAGATCCCCGGCTAAAACCAGAAAAGTGCTCAACTTTTGATGTGTTAAACGGCAAACATCCACTAAACCCCTAAGAAAACCCAAGGGGACAGCTCCCATCCCCCCCATTCCCCCCCCCCCCAGAAAAAAATGCATCTGCCCCCCCCCCGGAAAAAAAAAATGCATCTGCCCCCCTCCCCCCCCCAAGGAAAAAAAAAAACGCATCCGGTCCCCCCAAAAGAAAACCCCTGGGAACCGGGGACCTCCGGCTGCCCGTGCCGTGCTTCCTTAGGTTCCCGGCACCCGCTGCGGCTGCCGGAAGGCCACGCACGTGGCCGGCGCCGCGCCCCGGGAGTGGCCGAAGAGCACCAGCGGCCGGGCGCAGCTGCCTTGCGACCAGGGCCAATGCCCCGCACAAACGCGCACACCCACACACACACACACACACACATATATATATATATACATATACACATACAAATACACACAAATTGTCTGACAAAACCCGACACTTTCGCAGGTACACGTCAAACTATTGACACCTGCGCGGTGGTTTAGCGCACGTCCACTTTGAATCGCATGGGTCAGCTCCAACCAAGCTGGGAGCAGCTTGTGAGCTGGCCCAAGAACCTCCCGCAAGCGATTTTCGTTTGAGCCGGTTTCTACTGGAGCATTGCGTCGCCTTTGGACGTGAAGAGACTTGTTTGGCCATGTGTTGTCTTGTTTGGCCTTTCTTGCTTGGGGGCAAGAGGGCGACTGAAGAATCCAGAGTGTTGCCTGCATGCCTTTCGAAAGGCGCGCGAAGCCTCTGCCAGGCGTCTGGCTGGCGCAGGGTTGTTCTCCCCTGATTGTGCTTTCGCATGGTAACCTGCGACCAACACAGGCTTGCTTGTACCCCTGCAGCCGCTGCAGGTCAGCATTCCTAAAGGTGGTTTGCAGCCCGGCGGTTTCCCGTTTATCCCCTCATCCGCTTCAAGTTTGCAGTGTCCGAACGGGTCTGCCCGTGCTCCACACTAACGCTGGCCGCGTTTGCGACTGTTAGCTAGCTTGTTAAGGAGGCAAGGGACATCTTAGCCGGCTAAGAAGGAGCCACTGCCTGGTAAAACTGAAGCCGACCCGGCTAGAAAACTGAAGCTGGAGTCAGAGAGCCGCGAAAGTTAGTTAGGCTGAGAGGTGGCGGTGTAAGGTGGGATAATAAAGCTGTGCAAACCTAGATATTGATGGTTTCTTCGCAGGCATGGTTGTTCAAAGAACTGGCAATCCGTTAAAACATAGATAAAGGCACTGGCACATTTGTTTGCAGCAGTGGAAGTTTGTTACCGTGGCCGGAAGCTTGTTAAAGCAGCTGCCTGTCTCTTAAAACAAGTGAAAGTTTGTTGAACTTGCTGCTTGGCTGTGCAGATGACTAGAAGCTTGGTTATGTAAAGGGTTGGAAGTTTGTAGGGAAGGCTGCAGGTTTGTAAAAGCGGCTGTGAGTTTGTGAGAGGGGGCTGGGCGTTCGTTGAGCAATGATGCGCCACAATCTCTCCAACGCGCAATGCCTGCATCTTCACTTTTGACAGTGGTTGCTGCCGCTTGCAGACGCCCATTCCTGCGCTGTCGCCTTCTCCTTGCAGCACCGGTCATCGCGGCTGCTGCGCGGCGGGCTTCAACTTCTCATTCCAGCACCTCTGCGGTTCGCGGCTGCCGCGTGTCGGGCTCCAACCTTCGGGCGCGGCTGCGCGCAAGCACCCATCCATTCTCGTCAGCTTAAAGCGGTTCTGCGCAAGCCCACCTCCCTGCGCGTTATCACCTCTTGGCTTGGACTCCAAAATTCGGAGCGAGAACAAGGAGAAAGCGGGGCGCACGTGGGTTGGCCTTGGCCCAAGGATTGAAGCCCGATACGCGGCAGCCGCGTAGTCGGGCACAACCCTCGGGCCAGGCCCACCGGAATGGTGTGCCTCTTGCAGGCACCCATCCCCGCGGCTGCCGCACGTCGGGCACCAACCCTCGGGCCACCCAAATGGCGGCCTCTTGCAAGCACCCATCCGACCCATGCGCTGGTGCTTCAACGCAGCTGTGTCGGGCCTGAATCTTCGGGCCGCAGGCCCACCCAGACGGCGGCTGCTCCCAGCGTTGCGCTTCCGCCGCGGTCGGGCCTCAACCCTCGGGCCGCAGGCCTACCAGGTGGCTGCACATGGCCGACATCACCGTCATCTGCATTTTATCTATGTGCGTCGCCTTTCTCCTTGCCGCATCCTGAACGGACGCGGCTGCCGCGAGCTGGGCTTCAATCCTCGGGCCTATGCTCCAGACATCTCCAGACCAAGCGCGCTAGACTTTTTCACGCGGCTTTCCGCCGGAAGCCTCTCTGCAGTTTAGATTTCAATAGCTTGAATCTCTTGGTTCAATATTACCTTCGCGCCCTACCCCTGCTGCCCTGCAGTCCTTTAACGCGGATTTTCTGTAGGTTGATTGGCTGGCAGCCGTGCAAGCGGGAAAACTTGCCCGAGCAAACTTGTTAACAGGCATACAAGTAGACAACGGGGCCATAATGAGCAATCGAGAAGCAACCCGTATCATATGATTCTGTCTAGACATGTTATGGCTATCTGAATAACCTTGTACGCGCGATCAACAGTGTCTGAAAGCCGAAAGGCTGCGATCAAGTTAGAACCAGCTCACGTTCTCGGCGACACAGACGTGAAAGCGGCTTTCCTTGCGGGCTCCGCGTGTTGTGTTGCACAGTGCGCCGGCCAGCCCGCAAGGCGCTGGGAGTTCTGGGCAAGTGGCAACCAAGCAAAGTGCTGCCGAAGGCGACCCGCCCTAAAGAGATGCGGGTTTACACGGGCAAGTCGCAAGGCGCTAGCGCCTATGAAAGCTTGGTGGCGGAGGCCTTCAGCCCAAGCTTGGGGTGGCCCCAGCTAAGAAAGCAGTCTCAGACCAACTACAGCTTCCAGCAGCATCCTTGAAGGGAGTGACACATGACGCAAACGGCTCTGAGGGGCGCGGCAGATCTCAAGATGGACAGGCAAGCGTTGCGGGCAACGCGCGAACGCGCGACACGGCTCAAGGTCAACTCCCGTCTCACGGTCCACTCCTCATGCTACGTGACGCGAGTAAGTAACGCCGAGGTCAAGCACCCAAGTGGCAGGCCAAATCCGGAGTTTCATGGGCAAGTTCTCTACAGCGAGCGTAGCCGCGACCTGAATTAACGATTGAGGCGCCAAAAGGGTTTACACGGCCAATGGTCAAGCACCCACATGGCAGGCCAGATCCGAAGCTACACGGGCACGTTCTACAGTTAACGCAAACGTGGCCTGAGTTAACGGCGGAGGGGTAAGAGCGATGCAAATGGCCCGAGGTCAAGCGCCCGAGTGGCAGGCTAGATCCGGAGTTGCACACGCAAGTGCGACAGTTAACGGCCACATGTCCTGAGTTAACGGTGGGCGTGCCAAAGTTGTTTACATGGCCCGAGGCCAAGCGCCCGAGTGGCAGACCAGATCCGGAGTTACACGCGCAAGTGCCACAGTTAACGGCGACGTGACCTGAGTTAACAGCGAAGATTCAGAAGTAGAGCAGTTCAAGTGGCCCGGGGTCAGGCGCCCGAGTGGCAGACCAGACCCGGGGTTACGCGGGCAAGTTCTACTGTTAGCGGCGAGGTCACTGCGTTAACGGGCGGAGTTGCGACAGTAACTCGACATGCCCGAGGTCAGGAGCCCGAGTGCCAGACCAGATCTGGAGATATGCGGGCCAGTCCTACAGTTAACGGCGAGGTCACTGAGTTAACGGGCGGAGTTGCGAAAGCGACTTGGATTGCCCGAGGTCAAGAGCCCGAGCGGCGAGCCAGGGCCGGAGTTATGTGGGCAAGTTCTGGGTTGTAAACAGCTTCGCGGAGAAGGCTGCCGGCCAAAATGCTCAAGCGAAGTGGGTCACCTGTGCGTATAACACCTGACCGCAAGGTGAAAGCAGCGCGTGTTCGAGCTGAGAGAGGCGAATCACTAGAAAGTGACAGCGCAAGCTTATGAACATGCAAGCGGCGGGGTTTTTGGGCATTGGACCGCCCTTAACGAGCAAAATGAGTTAGGGTTTCGCTGCGGTGGCCCGAAGCGTGCCACTTGCCAAAGGATTCCAAACGTATCGCGCAGTCTGCCACGCAGCCGTCCGCGGAGTCTGAATCACCAGAAGAGGCTTGAGACTGAGCCATGTCGTTCAGAGTACACTTACGTTCGAGAATTGCTAAAGCGTGCGCTTTGTTGACATGAGCCACGAGCGGCCCGTCGAACACATGTGTTTGAAGCTGTTGCAGACCGCACGCATGCGTTTTTTCCTTTTTCAGAAATTACTGTTTTTGGCGAAACAGCATGAACTAGTGTTTCAAAGCACTTCTTGTGTTTTGACCGTCTTTGGGCGGCACCGAGGCAACCTCGCGCAGAATTGTTAACCATACTTAACCATCGTGGTTTGAGCCCTCCATCCCTATCGTGAACGGCGCCTTCAAAAGCGCGGGGGCTGGGGCCACAAAGGCTTAACAGGTCTGGAGTTGGTTCCACGACAGCAGGCCCCCTGGCTCCACACGGCAAGTGTTGTTTTGGCGCAGCGTTCACCAGCAGGGCTTGCTTTCTGGCGTGCAACTCCGCCACGGGAGGCTCATCATCTTGATGGGCATGGGCACAATGCTGCAGTAATTGCACCCTGCCTGGACGAACAACCTGTAGAGAGGCCGCGTAGGAGCAAATCAGCGCAAGCAGCTCTCACTGAAGCCAGCTGGGCGTAGGCAATCAGCACTGCAGCGCAAGCAAGTCAACCTAAAAGGCACGGCTTTACGAAGCAACGCAGCACCCCCAAAGGGGGCATAACAACTCACTTGGAGAAGCGCGGCCCCAGCATCGCAACGCCACACCTGCCTTGTAAAGCACAGCAACTCCGCGTCAACCGCACAGCAGCGCAACGCAAGCACTGCTGCGCAAGCGATGTGAGACCAGCAGCTCTGCGAGAGCAACGCAAACCAAGGCAAATTTCTCCCCAACACGACAGCTGGCAGGGTGCGGGCACCTCTCTGAGGCATCCATCTAGCCAAGGACACGCCCCAAACCGTACTCAGCCAGAGCACACGCACACCCACGCGCGGACACACAAAAAGAAAACCCATATACACACACACAAACGCTCGCACGCGAGCGCACGCAAGCGCGGAAGCAAGCGCGCGCACGAACCCACGCACCACGCTCACGCACACGCATGCTCGAGCGCAAACGTCGCGCGAACACAGACGCGTGTGCGCAGGCGCACAGCGTGTGTGTGTGTGTGTGTGTGTGTGTGTGTGTGTGTGTGTGTGTGTGTGTGTGTGTGTGTGTGTGTGTGTGTGTGTGTGTGTGTGTGTGTGTGTGTGTGTGTGTGTGTGTGTGTGTGTGTGTGTGTGTGTGTGTGTGTGTGTGTGTGTGTGTGTGTGTGTGTGTGTGTGTGTGTGTGTGTGTGTGTGTGTGTGTGTGTGTGTGTGTGTGTGTGTGTGTGTGTGTGTGTGTGTGTGTGTGTGTGTGTGTGTGTGTGTGTGTGTGTGTGTGTGTGTGTGTGTGTGTGTGTGTGTGTGTGTGTGTGTGTGTGTGTGTGTGTGTGTGTGTGTGTGTGTGTGTGTGTGTGTGTGTGTGTGTGTGTGTGTGTGTGTGTGTGTGTGTGTGTGTGTGTGTGTGTGTGTGTGTGTGTGTGTGTGTGTGTGTGTGTGTGTGTGTGTGTGTGTGTGTGTGTGTGTGTGTGTGTGTGTGTGTGTGTGTGTGTGTGTGTGTGTGTGTGTGTGTGTGTGTGTGTGTGTGTGTGTGTGTGTGTGTGTGTGTGTGTGTGTGTGTGTGTGTGTGTGTGTGTGCGCACGCGCGCGTGCACTGACGGACGCGCGCACGCAAGCACTTCACGATCCTGCATGGGTTTCGTCCGTGGGTCTGTGGCGTGGCGGAGTCTTGGAATATGAGACTATCTTAAAACTTACACACCTTTCTGAGAAAGCCTTCAGGGAAAAAAGACTGCGCAGAGGACTCGGGAGTTAAACGCGGCATAAAAAAAGTTAAGTTTGTCAAAAAAGAGTTAAGCCAGCCACTCAAGTGTTAAAATTGCCATTGACAAGTTAAAAGTGCAACAACAAGAGTTAAACTTGCCTTTCAGTAGTTAAAGTGGCAATGAACCAGTTAAAATGGGAATGAAAAGCATAATGGCAGTCACTCAATCGTTACACGGGACATGTAAGGAGTTAAACGAATCATCAAACGGTTGGCAGCGTGATGCAAACACATCGCAACAATACTCAGGTGTTGAGTCCTGGCATGCCCCCTCAACGCCCTCAAACAAATCTTAGCGAAGCCGCTGATGTTATGCTCCCTACCCTAGGCTGAAAGAAAACTAGCTCCGGTTCAAACAAGCCAAAATCCAACATACAAAAGCAAGCCGAGGGCCATGCCCAGAATTGGACGCCCTCCTATGCGTAACTCACGAACAACACCGCTTAACTCTGGAGATAACACGCACCTCAAAACTCACGATATGTGGCAAACCTCACTCAGACCCCAGTTGGACGCTCCAACTTCAAGTTCGCAAACCAAACCACCCATCCAAGCCCGGTGGTTTCTCAAGATCCGCTTCAAATCCGCAAGCCAATGCAAACCAAACCATCAATCCAAAGTTCTGGGGGAAGCCGCTCGGAAGCGCTGCGCCTGCCGCTCGGTCGATTTCCTCCACCAGGCGGTCGATGTAACTCGCCCAGGGCTCGCGGCCCTGACCCGGAAGCCTAGGGCTGGAAGGGTCGCTTGGCTCAGAGCCCGCCGCTTATACTGGATGGTTGCGAAATCCGCTTCTCGAACCACCATAAGAACTGGTTTCTGATGATTCCCCATCGTAAATACCAACAAACAATGGTTTCCCATGTTTTCAGGTGGTGCAGGATTTTGTCCATCCACGGTAGGTAGGGAATGACAACGAGTCCGGTTGTTGGGAATGAACCGGAAGGGGTTCTTGAAAGGAAACCATAAGGGATAGCTTTGTGGGGGTCATGCCCCCATTCCTTGCTGCTTGTAGAACCAGCACAGTGCCTCTATCAAAACGCTGGTGCCGCTTTCATTTGGGTTGGCTTTGTGTGGCGCGTCATTTCGGCCTTGTCTGCTTGCTTTATTTATTCGACTTGCTCCCGGAGTAACATGACTGAGCGGCAAACGAAGTTCTACCCCCCTCCTGGATGGATCATTGGGCCTGAGGATGCAGCCCATAGGCATCAGGATAGTGGAAGATTGCCGTGTCCTGCGGTGGCTGCAATCCGCCGTTCAGCTGTATCCTTCAGAACCGCTGTGGCCTTAACTCAGCCATGAACCCGAGTTGCAGTCATGCGTGCAGCTATTCGAGAAAAACACGAGGTTTCCCAGACAACGCTCAATTCGGACCCTTAGGAAGGGCGCATTTCGCTACTGCTTGCCTCTCAACATGCTCTCATACTGCGTGAAGCCGCCCTGCTTTGATATCGGGTCTGTCACTGAGACCGGGAAATGACGCAGCTTGGGCGGCGCGCTTATATATTCCTTGCGACGAAGCGGTGCATCAGCGACGTGACTTGGGCTGGCGCTCGGCTTGGTGCCCACGATTAGTGCCCGAGGCTGTGCAAACGCCGCTGAAATATGTAAGGTCGGCCGGAATTTGAAACATACTATATTACAGTACATACTGTGGGTCGACAAAATCCTGCAACACTTTGAAAGCATGGCTGAAGCCATTGTCAGTTTCAGGGGAATCATCATTCCAGGGTTTCTTAGGTGGTGCAGGATTTCGTCCATCCACAGTATCTTCTTCTTTTTTTTCTCACCAGAGCATCGCCTTCAAAAAGCTGCCGACAGGAAACACGAGTGTCAGAAAAACTCTTCCGAAAAAAGGCGTGGACCTTAAAGCGTTTCAATGTCAAAAAGGCTGCCAACGGAGGTTACAAACCAAGCCAGTGGCTGCCACGCACGCTCTTTTGCAAGCGCCAAATGTGCGCAGCCGGCGCCTGTACCCCCGCAGACTTCAGGGTCTGCATGAACGGTGCCAGCCTCGAGACCGCATGCAAAACTCCTTCCCTGCAACACCCGCTTGCTTGACACGGTTGTTTTCTCAAGCAGCCTTGCTCTAGGCAGCTGGCAGCTTTTCGCCGTCTGACTTTGAGAAGCCGCCAGAATACCAGGCCTCAGCGTGCCGGGAAACAAGCCAACTTCCGGGCATCGCGCGGCAAGAAAGCCGAGTCAGCAACTCTCGCTTCCCGCATGCTCGATATGCAATGACATACGCATCTGCACATGCGCACATGTTTGCCTGGCTCTTTGCAAGCAGCATTCGCAGGAAAGAGAAGTTAATAGCAAATGACCAGAATAGCACAGGCAAGCATATGAATCAGCGGCTTCCTTTGCAGACCGGCCCAGCACTGCTTGTCTGCTGGGAGCGGCACACAAAACAATGGCTGACCTGACAAGGTCAATGGCTTTGACATCAGGGTTGAGAGAACCATGTTTCGTGGTTCTGCCAGCTTCTAGCTGGCGAAGAACAGGCCTGCGAGCATGCCTACAAGCCACTTGCCGATGTGAGAAGTCCCTTCCCGCCATCTTGCAAGCAATCCTTCCCAGGGCCGCACCTCCCCCCCATGACAAACAAAGTGAGATGTCTGAACTGTAGGCCGTGAGTGGGGTCGCAAAGTGTCGTCGGTAAACCCGAAGGCCAAACAAAGAAACTTCACGAACAACGCACATCGGACAGCGACCAAGGAATTGCGGCGCACTGCCACGCCTGAAGGCGCTGGCTCCTTTTGGCAGGCTGCCAGGAGTGGAAGCACGGTTGGATCCAAATGCTGCTGGAACATGATGCCGCGTTTTAGCCGGAGGATCGAAAAGCACTGGATCATCACCCGCACAAAACAGGGCAATGTCAGCTCTCCTTTGGCGGTGCTTTAATGATGCATCGCAGCCTCAGTCGCGTTGACAACAATGGGACTCCAAGGTGCGACGTGAAGCAAAGCATCCCGAAAAAACTTCAGACATTCTGCCAATTCCAACCGGCAGAGAAAGGGTTCCTGAGCCACCGGGCAGCTCCTGGTCATCCACTTTGGTGCTCACCTCGCGGCGGGCACGCACGCAGGTGGTCTTGAGCGAGGGCGCTTGTGTGCACAAGCGGACTGCAAAATTTCTTTGGGGGGGGGGAGCAAAATCCATGGACACAACAATCTTTGCCTGAGCGGCTTCAAGCACCTCTGATTGCTGAAGGCCCCATTCCAGAGAAGTGCTCACACAATTTCTCCGCGGAAGAAGGCACGGCGCGACAAGCACAGGATGGGCCAAAATATTGCCCTCACGGATGGCAGGCGCCGCCCGTGTGAAAACAAGCAGGCCAATGAATGGCATGAATGCCACCAGCCCTCAGGGCCAAAGTGACAGCGAAGCCAACTCAAGTTCTCTAAGGAAATGCCTGGCCAGTTGCCACTGACAGCCCCTTTCGCAAGAGCTGACGACAGCGCTATAACAAATGATGTCTGGAGTTATCCGCTCCTTTTGCATGTCCAGAAGCAAATGGAGGGCTAGGTGCCAGTGATGACACTTCCCGCACGCGCTTATGGCATCACTGCAGCTCAGCACATCTGACCTGACATGTTCATGGCGCATCTGCACAAGACAGGACACCGCAAGTTGCCAAAGCGAAGCCTCTTCACTGCATCTGATTGCTGCATTGTAACTGATGATGTTTGGGTCTACACGGTCCTTCCGCATCTCGTGGAAGAAAAGCCGCATGGCAAGCCACCACAACGAGGCGTCAGTGCAGCAGCTGATGGAATTGCTATAGCTGATCACATCCGATCCCACTTCGGCCTCCATGCCGAGTACCAGGTGCACTGCCCAGTGCCACTGGGAGCCCCTCTTACAAGCGGTGGTCGCAGCACTGTAACTGGCCACGTTGGGCGTGGCAGAACCGGCCCTCATGGCCAAGGGCATATGCAAAGCCAGCCGCCACTGAGAGCCCTCACTACAGGAGCTGCCAGCAGCATTGCAACTTGCAGAATCACGCCGAATCCCGCCCTGCAAGCCCGCATAGAAAGAAAAGGCAAGCTGCCACTGAGAACTGTCCCCGCAGGAACTCATCGTGCTGCTGTGAATCATGACATCTGGCCGGATATCTTTGGCACACATGCTTGCAAAAAGACCTGCTGCCTGCTGCCAGGAGTCAGTCTTGCAGGAGCTCAGAGCCGCGCCGCAAACAACAACGTTCGGGACGAGTTTTGCTTGCCGCACATCTTGAAAGGCCAGCAGCAAGGCCTCCCGCCATTGCTTTCCGCAGGAGCTGACCAGCGCCCCAAAGCTGACAAGGGTTGGTTGGGCGCCTGTTTGCCGCAGTCTTCGAAGCAAGCCCAGCCCCAGATGCCAAGTGAGACCCGACTTGATGGTGGCATTGTAGGCCTTCAGGCTGGCCTTCCTCTCGAAGAGTATGGCCAAGGCCATACTCCAGTGAGACGCAACGCAGCTGATGGCGTCCAAGTAGTTGGTCCGGTCTGGGCCAACGCTCCTTGCACGCATCGACCGAAACATGCCGAGGGCACGCCACCACTGGGAACTCTTCCGGCAAGCGGTCATGGCCACGCTGTAACTGGTGGCGTCTGGAAGGCACCTGTTGGTGGGAAGCTCGACTGAAAGCAAGTACAGAACAAACTGCCACTGGGCAGCTGCTGTGCAAGCGCTGAGCAGAGCGTTGTAGCAAATGAGGTCTGCTTGCAGTTTCTGCTGCATGCTTTTCACGAACTCCACCGCGAGGAGCCACTGGGAGCCAATGCCACAGGATCGGATGGCATCTGTGAAGCTGACGACGTCTGGTGCGACGTCTGCTTTGCCAATCAGGTCGAGAGAAAGCTGCCACTGCGACCCCTTCCGGCACGAGCTGATGGCCGCAGAGTAGCTTGCCAAACCTGGTTGGAGCCTATCCTCGCACATCTTTGCCAGACCGGCTAAGGCCTGCTGCCATTGCGAGCCCTTTTCACAAGAACTGATGGCAGCGCTGTAGCTGATGACATTTGGCCTCACATCTTCTGGAACGTCGCTCAACAAGAAAACAGCTAGCTGCCACTGACATGCGCTGATGGCAGCATTGTAAGCGATGACGTTAGGATGGATCAGTGCTACCTTCATCTCCGTGAACCACAGCCACACTGCCAGATTCCATTGCTTGCACTTCCCATTGGCGGAAATCGCCGCACCGTAGCTGACAACATCTGGAGACACCCTGGCCTGTGGCATCAGGCTATGAACTGCATTCGCCTCCTCCCATTGAGACTTGCGGCAGAGGCCGATGGCGACTGTGAAGTCTCGAGCCTGCGGTGCTCGTCTGGTCTGCAGCCATTCCAACGCGGTGAAGGCTTCAGCTGCCCCGTCTTCAATGCCAATGTGCATGCGGGCTCCGCAGCCGTGCCGTGCAAGCCCGCATGGCGCCAAAAGCTTCGGAGGTCAGAGCCAAGAAACGCCACAAGGCAAGAAGAAAGAAGAGAAACTTACACATGGCCATGGGTCAAAATCCCGTACCCCCAGTGAACATCCCAATCCCCACTAAAATAGGTTCTAAAATGGGCACAGCCAGAGGGCCTACACGTGGCACCTCTGCATGAGACATGAGATAAGAGGCACAGTCTGAGAGCCTGGCCCATCCAGTCTCCGGGCCAGTGCCAGTCACCAGCTTGTAGTGAAGTCGCCTCAGCTCCAGACATCCGCAAGGCAGCCTGTTGATCTTTGGAACAATGCCACGTTCTCGCTCACTGGCTCTGTGGCAAAGATACGTGCGCCAGAAACAGTGAAGATAATCAGGTACTAGATGTGCAAAAAAAAACTGCTTTGTCCAGCAAACTGGGACCGGCCAAGCACTGCTGCCAGTAGGATGGCGATCATTGGGCAACAAACCCGGCTGGCGAGCAGCTCGTTTTTCAACTCCAGCTCCTCCACGAAGGCAGCATGTGAGAGCTTCTGCTCCTGAGTCCAGGTACAAGCCGGGTGAGGGATCAAAAAAAAACTTATTAGGCATCAAAAAATAACTTATTTCTGAAGTTCAAAAAATATTAGGGAACAAAAAAATACTCTCATTGATTTACTATTAAAAATGAAAAATCAGAGGATAAAACACTTTTTAGGCATCAAAAAAAAACTTCTGCATTTCGCGGCATGCGCAGCACTTTCGTATTCATTTCGTGGCAGGCGCAGCACTTTCGCAAGGTCAGGTACAGATTTCGTGGCAGGCGCAGCACTTTCGCAAGGTACGGTGCAGATTTCGTGGCAGGCGCAGGACTTCTGCAAGGTCAGGTACAGGGTTCGTGGCAGGCGCAGGACTTTCGCAAGATCAGGTACAGACTTCGTGGCAGGCACAGTACTTTCGCGAGGTCAGGTACACATTTTGCGGCAGGCGCGGCACTTTCGCAAGGTGCGGTACAGTTTTCGCGGCAGGCGCAGCACTTTCACAAGGTCAGGTACACATTTCGTGGCAAGCGCAGCACTGTCGCAAGGTCAGGTACAGATTTCGTAGCAGGCGCAGCACTTTCGCAAGGTCAGGTACAGATTCGCGGCAGGCGCAGCACTGCAAGGTACGGCACATATTTCGCGGCAGGCGCAGCACTTTCGCAAGGTACGGTGCAGAGTTTGACGCAGGCGCAGCATTTCGCAAGCAGTGAAGAAAAAGATGCAGAAATAGCATAACATTAAAGAGAAAGAAAGAAAAGAAAAGAAAAGAAAAGAAAAGAAAAGAAAAGAAAAGAAAAGAAAAGAAAAGAGAGAGAGAGAGAGAGAGAGAGATCGAGGAAGTGATGATTCAGCAAAGGGTGCGTCAAGCACTGTAAACATTCTGGAAATCAGCGGGGGGGTTGGGGGGGCGGCAGCCCCCCCCATGAACTTCGAGGAAGTGATGATTCAACAAGGGGCGCGTTAAGCTCTGTAAGCATTCTAAACACACTTTTCGTAGCAAGCGCAGCACTTTTGCAAGGTCAGGTACAGATTTCGCAGCAGGCGCAGCACTGTCGCAAGGTCAGGTACAGATTCGCGGCAAGCGCAGCACTTTCGCAAGGTACGGTACAGATTTCGCGGCAGGCGCAGCACTTTGGCAAGGTCAGGTGCCGATTTCGTGGCAGGCGCAGCACTTTCGCAAGGTACGGTGCAGAGTTTGACGCAGGCGCAGCATTTTCGCAAGCAGTGAAGAAAAAGATGCAGAAATAGCATAACATTAAAGAGAAAGAAAGAAAAGAGAGAGAGAGAGAGAGAGATCGAGGAAGTGATGATTCAGCAAAGGGTGCGTCAAGCTCTGTAAACATTCTGGAAATCAGCGGGGGGGTTGGGGGGGCGGCAGCCCCCCCATGAACTTCGAGGAAGTGATGATTCAACAAGGGGTGCGTTAAGCTCTGTAAGCATTCTACACATCAGCAGGGGGCGGCAGCCCCCCCCATGTTGTTCGAAGAAGTGATGATTCAACAAAGGGTAATGATGATTGAAGAAGCGATGATTCAGGAAAGAGTGCGGCAATCTCTGCGGCAGCCCCCCCCAGGATGTTCGAAGAAGTGATGATTCAACAAGGGGTGTGTTAAGCTCTGTAAGCATTAGCAGGGGGGTTGGGGGGCCCCCCTGTGCGGTAATCTCTGTAAACATTCTGAAAATCACGGGGGGGTTGGGGGACCCCATGATGTTCGAGGAAGTGACGATTCAACAAGGGGTGCGTTAAGCTCTGTAAGCATTCTACAAATCAGCAGGGGGGGTTGGGGGGGGCGGCAGCCCCCCCCCAAGATGCTCGAAGAAGGGTGATGCTATCCCGTACGAGCCCGGGGCGGCTCAAGTTTGCACCAGCGCTGTTGTGCTGTTGGGTTGTTGCGCTAGCTGTTCTTTGTGGGCCGTAGGGTTGTTAGGCTGTGCTGCTGTTGGAACCCACCAGGAATGGCGTGCTTGCGGAAGGCCGTGGACTTTGCCGAGCAGCCAACTCTCGGCTCTGAGGCTCAGCGCCATCGCGGACCGCGAGTCCACCTGGGCGCCAGGGCGAGGGGCTGGGAGGGAGCCTTGCGAGGTCTTGCTGGGGCAGTCAGTTGACTTCAGGGCACGCTGGAAACCACAATGCAAGGCAAGTCCATGTCGGACGAGATGCCAGTATCTCGGCCTGCAACGACCTGCCATACTTGGCTCATAAGGACATTTGGCCTCTTTGGGCATGAAATCCTACCCTGGAAGCCATAGGCGCGGGGTGCAAACACAGGAGAGGCAACCTCCGAGTGCTTGGTCTCTCGGCTCCATCTTCTTTGCCACCTTGGGGCTGACTTCCTAAGGCACATCCACAAGCAAAGCAGGCAAGAGGCCTTATTTTTTCCATCACACTCGCTGGAAGATGTCGGCCAAGCCTGGGCCCACCGGAAGACACGGTTGCTACCTTTTTTGAGGTCGCTTAGGGAAACCAAAAGGAACGCAAAAGAAAAGGAAAGCCACATGTTCAGGGTTGACACACACCCAAGTGTGATGTTGGCAGGGGAAATAGTGAGACCCTGGGCAGTAGCAAGGGCAGCACATTTCGTCTGCTGGCAAGTGAGGGAATCTTGATCACAGCCACTTCAAACATGGTGGGTTAAACCTTTGATCCCATGAGCGTCATCATGACCAAATCCAACAACCCCGACACGCACGCGGGCCCGCCCATGCATGCACAGGAGACATCACGGTGGTTTGGCAAACCGTCGTTTCTGCAATATTGGGAACTACCACAAAATCAAGCACGCACTGGAACTGCGAGATGCCTACAAGTAATAAAATGCTTGACTCGATTGCCCATCGAGCTAGCATGCGCATCAAGATGCTGGAGCTATGCTGGATGGCAAGGCCGCCTTCTTGCTGGAGGAAACAGATTCTGCAAGGAGGTCGTGCATTGTTTTGATCCATTAGCAAACTCCTGTCGACAACCCTGCAGGAGCTAATGGCAGCATTGAAGCTGATTTCGGTTGGGGTGATCTGCGCCCTGCGCATCTCTAACAGCAGCAAAGACAACGCCAGCTGCCACTGAGATCCCTTCTCGCAGGAACTGATGCCAGCGTTGTAGCTGATTACATTTGGCACCAGGTGCGCTTCTTCCAACTCATGAAGCAACAGGTGCAAAGCAAGCTGCCACTGATACCCCTTCTCACAGGAGCTGATGGTAGCGCTGAAGCTCACAATATCTGGCACGATGCGTTCGAGGCACATCTCCGTGAACAGCAGCTGCAACGCTAATTCCCACCGAGACGCTTTTTCGCAAGCACTGATGCCCGCATTGAAGCTAATGATGTCCGGGCGGATCTTGGCAAGCGACATGTCAGCCAGCAACACGTGGAGGGCAAGCTGCCATGCCGAGCCCTTCTCAAATGAGCTGATGGCGCTGTTGTAGCTGACAATGTTTGGCAAAATCTGCCTACCCCTCATCTCCATAAACAAATGCACAGCCAGCTGCCACTGGTAGCTCTTTTCACAGCACGTGATACAGGCGCTAAAGCTGATTACGTTGGGGCTGATGTGCCGGCGCTGCATCTCCAGCAACAGGCTCAAGGCCAACTGCCACTGCGAGCCTTCCGCGCAGGAACTCATCGCGGAGCTGTAGCTGATCACGTCCGGACGGCTTTGGTCCGCAAGGGTCTCAAGCAGGACCATGGCCGCCTGCCAGTGAGAAGCTTTCTCGCAGCAGCCTATGCACGTGTTGAAGCTGATGAGGTTGGGCTTGAGAGCTTCCGCCTGCGATGCTTCAAGAAGCTCCAAAGCCAAGTGCCACTGGGAATTGCCACTGCAGGAGTTGATAGCGGCATTGTACGTGATGACATCGGCCGTCACTTGCTCTTGTCGCATCACCCTGAGCAACTCCATTGCGTGCTGCCAACCCTCGCAAGTCTTGAGGCAGCTGATGGCAGCATTGAAGCTGATTTCGGTTGGGGCGATCTGCGCCCTGCGCATCTCTGACAGCAGCAAAGACAACGCCAGCTGCCACTGAGATCCCTTCTCGCAGGAACTGATGCCAGCGTTGTAGCTGATTACATTTGGCACCAGGTGCGCTTCTTCCAACTCTTGAAGCAACAGGTGCAAAGCAAGCTGCCACTGATACCCCTTCTCACAGGAGCTGATGGTGGCACTAAAGCTCACAATATCTGGCGCGATGCGTTCGAGGCACATCTCCGTGAACAGCAGCTGCAATGCTAATTCCCACTGAGACGCTTTTTCGCAAGCACTGATGCCCGCATTGAAGCTAATGATGTCCGGGCGGATCTTGGCAAGCGACATGTCAGCTAACAACACCTGGAGGGCAAGCTGCCATGCCGAGCCCTTCTCAAATGAGCTGATGGCGCTATTGTAGCTGATGACATCCGGGGAAGCATGTTGGTTCTGCATCTCTACCCACAGGAAGCCCATGGCAACTCGCCATTGGCCGCTTCGTCCCGCGGCGTTGATCGCCGCATTGCAGCTGATGACGTTTGGGCGAAGCCTGGCCTGTGGCATGGCCGCCCAAATCCGCAAAGCCTCTTGCCATGCACCGGTCCTGCCACAGGAGTTGATCGCGGACGTCACCTCCCGCCGCGCCCTCTCTATGCCCATTCTCTAGCCGCGCATCCACATCTAATTCTTTCAGCCAGCGCCTTTTGATACACAATCTTCCCAGCTCGCGCAAACCGCTAACCGCATGTCTTCCAGCAAACTTGCTTCGATTGACCTCAAAGAAGGCCTTCAGCTCAGATCAAGGCGTGCGCTTACGTTGCTTGAGCCATGGACCCGGCTCTGGCAAAACAAATGCATCTGTGACATCTGCGATTTGCGCCCGTCCTGATAGCAAATGAGCAGTCTAGATGTGCATCAAGTGCTTTTGGGGTTGCTATGCAGTCCCTGGCCCGTTGGAAATACCACATCTGAAGTGAGAGGGTCCGCTTGCCTGACCGAAACCTTGCCAGCCGAGTCTCTCATAAAGGCATATTGCGGCAGCGTGCGCGACCTAAGCTTTCATGGGAACAATGTCCAGCAGCTGGGATCCATGCAGCTGTGCCACGTTCAGGGATGCCCCTCTAACCTGCCCATTGGCTGGTCCCATCACACGGAGTCAAGCAACGGGCGACGCCGCGCGCCTGTGGAACTCGCAGGAACGAATCGCAGCACTCCAAGACCTCTGGGGAGATGCCTGGACGTCCGATGGCTGCCATGTTCTGACTTCAAACGTCCAAGCTGTAGGACTGATACTAACTGACGACTCACTTCCGGTGGCGTACTGCTCTCGCACCCTTTTGCCGAAAGCAGCGCTGCGCTCATCCCTTCTCAAGCGCGAAGCTCTCCTTGATCCTGGCAAACTGGCAAACGGCGCGACTCGCGTCGCTTGGCTGGCGGCCATCTGATCGTTGGTTGCTTGCCGATCGCATGTCGCTCAGGTTGCATGACAGCTTTACATAGCCTGCAAGGAGCGACGCTGCGTCGCCGTTCCTTCAAATTTCAAATGCCCCTCCTCTCCATCTTCAGTGCAGTTGCTGGATTCCGCCTTGCAGCCTTCCTCTCGGCACCAGCAGTCGTTAGACAAAGAGCCGCTCCACACGACAGCGCCAACAACATGCTTCGCCATGCTACCATCTTCAAATGGCTGTGGGTCCAAAATAGGTACCCAAAATCAAACCCTGTAAATGGAACCAAGGACTAAAACCTGCGGTCCCCTGGTGGTTTCATTTTGACCCATACCCAAACCTGCAAACTTGCATGCGATGTTCTGCTGGAACTTGTGTCAGGTGGCTGTGGGAGCAATCAACGGAGATGGCAGGCTCCTGCTTTGAAGCACGAAGACACCAGTCTCGCAGGGTGAGGGTCGTGACTGCTGGTTGAGATGCCTGGCTTGCGATCCAGAGAGCTCTTTCGACAAGATGCTGACCTTTCCCGGCGCAGAGGCCCAGCAAATAGCAAGCCAGCCACTTCAATTTTGCATTACAGCAACATGAACAGCCATCCTCGCAGAAGGGACACCCCTTGACCGCACAAGCTCGCAGCTTTCTCACAACATGTTGCAAGGGCTGGACCGGACCCAAAAAGATCACATCGCCCTATTCATCCAAGGGCTCCATCATTTCGTGCGCACCGGGCCAGGGCTCCGGCTGCTCTCCATCAAAGTACTGGTGGGTGCCCTTTGGCACACTGACCTGCTGCACTGCTTGGCAGTCATTTCTTCACTGGCCCCAAAGGGATGCCCGGCAAGCAACCCTTCCATGTCGAGACCCCAAGAATCGTGAGCTAGGCTGCCTTACATCGCAATCTTGCGATGCTCTCACCCCCACCTGCGCGCGGAGAAAGGTGCCTCGGCATTCATGCACAATCGTCGGCAGTGAAAATCCACTTTGTGTAGCTGAGGGCGAAGTGATGTGAGTCCAATTTGGCTGGTATTAAGAAATGATTCTTTTCTGATGAATGTGCGAATGCTGCTTAGGACGGCTTCAGGCTTTATTTAGTTCACTAATGCTTCGGATCTGGCGCGCAGCTGGCGCGCGACTAGCATCCCATGCGACAAGGGCCCGGGCTAGCACACAGCGCTTGCAATGCCGCGCTCCCCGAGCGGCTGCCAGAGTTGGCCTCTGGAACGCTTGGGTCAAAATGCACAGCCGCAATGGCTCAAGCTCATGTGAAGTGGTTCCGGTCGGGAATTCTTTGAAAGCGCAAGGGAAAAGCTTCAAACGGCAAAACTGCTGAAAAGCCTACCTAGAGCTTTGACAAACAGCAACCTAGCTAGGAAAACAAAAAATCGACGCAACAAGTCCAGCCTTGGTGAGCACACACACACAATCAGTAACTTAGTTTGCACAACAAGAATGATCAGAAGACAACTTGGAAAGCTGTAGTCGGAGTCTATGCGTTTTGCGCCTCGACAAGCGTCTCGCTCCACGAACATTCCACAATGACTTCTAGAACTTCTGACCGCAAGTTCCAACCACGGACTCTCACACCGAATTTCCGGCGGCCATTAGAAACCCGTGGGCTTTCGCTTGATATGGACATGTTTGGCCTCATAAAGTCCTGAGCACATCAGCAAGGGTGGGTCACTTACATATGCCAACCATCAAGCCGAGTGAAAGACAAGCACGTCAAATATAAACGGGGGCTAGTTGCAGCTGCGGCGATTCTGTTCTTTTCTTTTTGCATGAAGCAACGGAAACCTGCACGTGCAAATGGCGCGAGCTTCACCCCTCCGCCAACTGAAACTGCCAACCGGACCCAAGGCGCACATACAATCACCACAAAGGTCAGGCAAGACTTCTGAGCTTCTGCGGCCGCAAGTTGCTCATCCAGCCTCCGACTTGCTTAAAAAGAAGTCACGCGCACATGCCGCGAATGGACCAATGTGAAGTGCGCCGTAGGTTGATTTGCCAACAGCCGCCTCAGCTTCTTGCACCAGCCAAATCTTAAGAGCCCTCGTAATGTAGTGTATGACATCTCTTGGGCAGCAGCAGGCCTCTCCACCATGGAGATCACGATGTCGTCCACGAACGGGGGGTTCAGCTGGAAGCTTCCAGACACAAAAGTCCTAGTGGTCGACCACGGCTGTGCTGCCGGTTGCTCGAGTCGCGACAAGTGGCTTGTCATGTTTGACAGGAGTCTTGCAGGAGCCCGAAAATCTCGTGCGCATGCTGGACAACCCCCTTGCGAGCAACAAGCAGAAATGTCAAGTCCAAAACTCATGAAACCACCAAACTCGCCACAGGACGATACGGCCCTGTCCAATGCCACTTGGGATCTGAGCGAAGAAGGAGCCCAAGGACCCAAACACGGAGTCCGTGTCCGGGAAAGCGGAGCACATCCTTGAAACTTTTGCCACTCTCGCGAGGATATTGCTTGCGCCAGGGCCTCTCACCCCACACCCCCGTACAACCATGTTTCACACCTACGCATCAGCGCATATACACCGAAAAGACAATGAAGGCACAGCTCCCAAGTCTGAATCACTACTGTCACTAGTTATTCTAGCACTGATTGTGCTTCCAATCCACATGCTTCTTTCTGGGGCTTCGGTAGCACCCCGGCATGCACGCAAGCGCAAAACATTCTCAGACATACCCACCAATGCCTGCGCGTACAGAGATATGTCAACATGCGGTCCGCGCATGACAACAACCTGCTGCTGAGCTTTGAGTCGCAGCCAAGGCGCCAGCGGTACCGGCAGTTCAGCGGCCTCCCGCGAAAGGAATGTGACACTGGCCGCAGAATACGCTGCTTCAGGCCATCGCAAGGCCCAGCTTCCCCCAGCTGCAGTCAAAGGCTGAATGCATACGTCCATGAATGAACCCTGGATATGAATCCCTAGTTTATGGGCGTCTAGGGGAAAAATGCCTCCGCTCACTTGGGGCCCCTGGCGATGCAAAGCACTCGAAGCGCACGTCGAAGGTCTCCAGGAGCGCCTGGAAGACCTCTTCGGTGCAGGCGCCCTGAAAGCCCTTCCTGAGTCAAGACGAGTCAGGCGCCGGCCAGACGCAAACGGTTCTGCCACAGATGTCTTACGTGCGGGCGTGGCTCTGCAGCACGGAGTGGTACCTTCCAGGCACATGCGCAAGCCGGTGTCGTGCAAGAGTCACAACTTGTTATGATCCGCTTCTTCATTCAGCCCTCAACAATCCCAACATAGAGCCATTTCATGGCCAGTCTCACATTGACTCCTAGGGCGAGGGTCAACGAAAAAGTGTACGCCTTGCTACAAACAAAATATGGCCAGGGGCCAGGGGCGTGAAAGCCTTGCCCATCCTTGCACATGCTTCCATCCTGTCATGCTGGAGGGGGGGACATCCCAACCAAAAATAGAGCCGTCCTCAACAAGCAGCAGAAGGCCGCGTCGACAAATGCAACTTCCTCAGTCGCAGGCTCAAATGAGCATCTTGCACCAAGCCGGCGTTCACCGGTGTGTCAACCGTTGCAACACCAGCTTGCGAGCCCCCTTCTGACTTGCCGCCCCTCACTGCGCCCAAGCCACACCCTCCCCACGAAAAAGCGCACGCAGCTTCTGCAGGTGCAGTTGGGATATTGGCAGCTGCCAGCCTGCATGGAAATTGGCTTCTGCATGCCTCTGAGCTGAGAATCTTGCTGGTGCTCGGTAGGGAATCTGGGAATGAGCCCAGGGATTTCTTTGAAGGAAGCCACCAGGGATGATTTGTAAGGGCCATTCCCTCATTCCCTGCTGAGCACCAGCAAGTAATGTTTGACTGTGTTGTTGTCAACTGGGCTGGCGGCCTGTCACGAGTCGCGTGGGGGGATTTAAGCGCTTCGCGTGCAGGCATCCAGGTGGCAGGCCAAAACAGACCCTGCACCCACCAGACCCGGTCCTTCGAAGCTCAATGTGGCCTGCCACGGGCAAGTGCCAGAATATAAACTGGCCAGAAGCCGGAAGGAAGCCTCGTCCCCGTTCATCTGCAGAGAGGCATGGCCCTCGCGGGGCAGTTTCTGCAGCTTCTGCGGCAGCGCTTTCGCCTTCCTGGCGGCTGTGCAAGTCGCATTTTGTTTTTGCTGGTCCGTTCAACTGCTCAACCCCCCCCCCGCTTGAAGACTGGACCGAGGAAGCAACTCTTTGCCCAAGCAACTCCAAGAGCGCTGGCCCAAGGAAAGCTAGATGACACCACGTGGGGATAAAGCCCCAGGTCTCAAATACTAAAACGGCATGTCTAGGGCGACTTTGACAGGCTAAAACCCAATTATTCGCGACCCCGGTTGCTGCCAAGCAAGAGCGTTGCCCCGCGGAACGCAAGCTGACACATGCATAGGTTTGCACATTACTTTCGAACTCACAACGGACAGCTGATTGCCCACGAGCACATCGGCCATTCGACCCCGAAAACACAAGGGGCATGCTTGCCAGGAACACAGGACTGCGTCTTTGGTTCGAGACCCGAGCTCTGAGCCCCATTTGATCCTCCCTTCCGCCTCTCTGCAGCAGCACGAAGGCGCTGCGCCAGAGTCAAGGCCCTGCTGGGCGGCAGAAAGGCCAGGGCCTCCGCGCAGTAGTTTTTTCAGGGGCGATCGATTCGGTACGACAAGTCAGTGGTTCGTAAGCCTAGTTCTAACCCACTGAACAAAGACCTATACCCATGGCTATTTTTGGGGCTATATGGTGTTTCTTCACTTACTTAGTACCCTGCCCCCCAGACCTCATTCCCCAACTTCGGCCTAGCCTAAAGGTGGCTGAATGATTTGGAGGCAGTAGGTCTTGACATGCCCTGCCTCACCCTTGCCACACAGGCATTGGATCTCTATAAAGTGAAAAGGCTGAGTGTTGCTTCGCCACACATACTCAACCTCCTCGGCCATTCCAGCGCGTGTTACTTCACCACTCGTGGGCCAAGTCCTACGCCGTAGACCTGGCCACTTCAACCCAATCCGGCCTTCACCATGGCCTGGTCAAGGACTTGGAAATCCTGCGCGTGCTGTCTGAGAGATGATTGCCCCCATCAACAGAAGCTCAAGCCGGGTGCGCGCTGTTCAAACCAAGTTTAGCCTTAGATTCTTGCCACCTGAATGCAGGTAGAGAAAAGTCTACTGGAAGTGTCTCACCTGACACGCCCCTCGTGCGCATGGGGCTTCAGCTTCAGCCAAGCATGAAGCGCTCGAAAGGCAGGAAGTCATGCGCAGTTCCGTGCGCACGGCAATAGAAACTACCGTCATGCCGCGAAGAAGCTAGGAGTGCCTATCCTCCTGCAGCGCACCGGCCGAATGAATGCAGAAACATGGTGGGTGCTTAATGTCTGCGCATGCCGTACAGAAGCGCTGCGCAGCGTGCCCTGCACACGTAGCAAACATAATTTGACTGTACCGCGGATCATTGCACATGTGCTTGAGAGCAAAAACGGACGAATGCAAGCACGCAGGCACCATCACGCATCCGTGCAGTTTTGCTGCATCCTCCATCCTGCCCAAACAGTGCAAATCAATTCACAAACGCATCAGGACATCAGCACCAAGAACCCACCAGGGTTCTGCATTTTAGCTGCGTTTCGCACCTGAACACGGGCCTCGATCATCGGCAGCAGTGGGTCACGCAGCGTGCCATCGTCCATCTTGGCGAGGCAGAGCCAAGCGCAGTGCCTCAAGTTCAGGGGGAGCAGTGTCAGAGCATTTGCGGCGCCTCTCGCGCAAGTGAAACTGGCTGCCATCAGGCCTAATCGCAGTCTAGTCGCCATTTGTCGAAGAACACTGGGGAAGCAGCCTTCCTGGGTTGCCATCATGGAACCTTCCATGCGACGGGTAACATTTTCTGCACACTCACCAGTGCCAGATTGGATCGCTTCTGTCCTGCACCTGTTAAGAGCATCATATGTTGCACCAGGTTCCAACTCTCACCTCCCACTGACTTTCTTTCAGTCACTCCTAGCCTTTTTCTAAAGAGGGCTGGGGATTGTCGCATGTACTTGAATGTTACCTTGTTTGTCAAGAAAAACATATTGGACAAGGACATCCTGCGTATGAATAATCATTTGAAACTATCTTAAGGTAAAAAAAAATAATATCTTAAGGTAAAAACATATCTGGAGACAACACCAACTCGTGCCAAACGACACTGCCTGTGCCGAATCATGTGCAAACTAACCCAAATGTGTAGTCTTCCTAACACCTCCTTTGTCTGCACTTAGAAAATCATGTTGGCTGGGCAAAAAATATGTCCACCCCAAAATGGCTGAAAAGAATGACCACCCACTTCTTTGAGCTGAGAACGTACCCATTTCTTGGACCCCGATCCCGCCCTCCAGGGTTCTATTTTTTGACCACCTGCAAATAGACTTCAGCCGGGGGGTTGCCCTTTTGGGGTACATGACCCACCCCTTGGGTTTAAGTGGGGCTAGTCAAAAAGTGGAACCCTGCCGCCGCGTCCAACGCGTCCCAATCCCAGGGGCAGCTGCAGCTCTCCGCAGAGCTCCAAGTACCTACGCCGCAGAGAGGCCACAGCCCGGGCGCGGCAGCTCTCCTGAGATTTTTTGGCCACAGAATCGGCACAGGGCTTGCCTTTTGCACTGAAATGAATTCCACTCCCTACATTTCCCCTTAGAACATCACCCCCATCAAGGGACACTCACCTTTCATGGGCCAAGAAGGTGATGTCTAAAACCACCAAAAAGGGAAATATAGGCACCCCGCTGACCTTGAAAAGGGCTTCTACCCTACCAGGGGGGCTGCTTACTTATCCCACAAACCGAGGAAAAGGCAAACCATGAGCTGACACGTGTCATGGGAAGGCCTTGAAGCCCAGGAGCAGAGTCAAGTGAGCGGAGAATGCGGATGGTTTCGCGAAATCCAGGCATCGCAGCATTCAGAAACCCTGGCTTCTGATTCGCTTCCCCAACGTAAATACCAACCAAACGATAGTTCATCATTCAAAGTGGTGCAGGATTTCGTCCAACTACAGTATGGGGAATGTTTGTTTGTCGGAGGGAACAGGCAGTTTCTAGCAAGTCTAACAACTGCTCACCAGCTGCTTTGAATTCCAATGTGCAGCTTCATTGCGAGCACGATGCCTGAAGGAAGACACAAACCAACCGCGGGCCGGTCCTCCTCCACGGTTGGGGGCTCAGCCTCGCCACCACGCAGCTCTGCAACCTCGGGCATGGCCGTCTAACACCCCTAGTGGCTTGCGCATCTTGCGAGAGCTAAAGCCAACTCACAAAGGAGACAACGCTGAAACCGCAACAAAAAGCGAAAGTCCAGCCGTCTTTTTTAGTTGTTGATTGTTTTTTTCTCCCCAACAGCTGAAAGCTTTGGGGTCTTAGCCCAGATAGGCTCCGGGGTGGTCGGTTTGGGGCGGCCCTGAGGTAAGGTTCCACGAGGGTTCCACCGTTCCACGAGGGTTCCACGAGGTTCTGCGAGGGCTGCAGGGTCATGCGAGCACTAAAAAGAGCACCAGAGTTGATTGAGCGCCATCTTCTCACAGAGGGCTCTGCATGCAGGCAGCTGCAGCTTCATCCAGGCTGTTCTTAAAGTCCCAGAACCTGCACCAAAAAGCCACTTCTGGCGCGGTTTGCACGATTCGACGCCAGCTTGCGCCTCGACTTTGGAGCCTTCTTTGCCTTGGCCTTTGGGCCGAGTGGCGCCTGGCAGCCAAAGCTCGAAGCATGGCCAGGCGTTTTGCTCTGCTGATCAGGAACTTGTTTCCCTGACTTTTCAAGGCGCACACCCCGGTTCTGCCTGCAGCTCCAACTCTGAGGCTTTGCGCTTGCGCTTCTTCTGCACCATGAGGCCATGGCTCACAATCCCATGATTTGCCTGCAGACCGATGGTGCTGTTTTATTGCTTGCTGCGCCTCTGCTGGAGGCTGTCACGTCTCGTTCATCTCCCTTTTCGGCTGCGAATGAAAATAAAAAAGCGCAACTTACGGGCAAGTGGCCAGAGCGGCACACTGTTCTCTCTGTGCCTGTCCAACATCGCTCGCAAAATTGCAATGTACACACCGCTGTCATGTGTCCTCCTTCTACGTGAGTAAGGTGAGCAGCCGGTGCCTTTGTCCTCGTTGCCCACAACCAGTGCCCACCCTCAGACAGTCAGAAGGCTGGCAGAAGTTCTGCGTCTGGTGCTGTTGTTCATGATACTGTTGGCGGGACAAAATCCTGCACCACCTAAGACACCCTCGAATGACGTTTCCCCCGTAAATACCAATGGTTTCCAGTCAGGCGGCGCGAATCACCATGCGGCGCCGCCGGATCTGGGTGCATCTCCTCGCATCTGAACCCGCGCCAGCGGCACTTGAGAACACACAAGGAGGTCTGGGCTGCAACAGCTCTCCTTCACACGCCCAAAATTTGGCCGTTTTTCTTTGCATGGCCTTGGCAAGGATCTCGTTTTGTGGTTAACGCGTAGAAGGCTTTCCCTACCACGATTTCAAGTGAGTGGCGACTCACCGACAACGATACAACAGCACATGTTGACGATCATGAGTAAGTTGGGTGACCTGCTCGGCCATGAGTTCCATATGAATCATTGCGGCCAGCCAGTAACCCCTGAGTCTCCTCCGCTGCATAAATGCCTCCATGCTGCAGAAGCTCATCCGAACTTTGGGTCAACAAACCATGTTTCACAATGCAGACTAAAATGCTGTTCCAAGAGTTTCAGGCCGGACTGTCCTCGCTAAACATCAGCTATCCATCACAAACCCTCCCACCCACTCAGGAAGCAAAGGCCGATCGAATCAACTTGGCCGGGCTGACGCACAGAGGCGGCGTGGAGCTGTTTGAGCGCCGGAACCAAGGGCTCGGCTAAGTGGTACTCTGCGTGGTAAAACCTTGCTGCACAGCCACCTTTCAGATGTGTCATTGCCTCCTGTTGCACTCGCTGCTCGCTGTCAGCAATTCGTGCTGGGGCTGCCCGCCAGCCCTGTGATGCATGACACGCTCGACCATTTAAGCCTTGGAGAATCGACAACCCAAGCGGCTTAAGGAGTTGTTGACAACCAAACTCCCAAATGAGAGGTTTGCAGCTTGAGTTGCTGCAGCCGCGACACATCCACCACAAGCACAGCCCAGATTTGAGTTACTTCCTGTTGATGCTCAAGGCATGGGTGTGGGTCAAAAACAGGATAACCCCAAAATGGAACCGGGGTATAATGGACATGAAGACTAAAACCTGGGGTCCCCCTGGTGGATTCATTTTGACCCATACCCACATGTGAACTTCAGGCTCCGACAGTTAAAGCTTGCCCTAGAGAGCACCACGGACCTCACGCCCAGCAGCACAGCGCTCCTCTCCGGCGAGGCTTTGTGGCTGGGTCAGTCACCAGCGGGGCCTTTGGCGTGGCTACGACATACGAGCCATAATCAAAATCTGATACTTAAATGGTCCACCCAGAACCATGTACAGGATTAAGAAGGCGGCCGCAGCTATCAGCCATTTATGGTTGGGGATCGTCCCTGCCCGGGTTTTGAGCGTTGCCCATACCAGGGCATACCCACAAGCCTTTTGGCAATGCCCTGCGGCATTCTCTGATCTCAAATGAAGCTCCTCATCACTTGGCCAAGGTTTTGGGCTGACCTCAGCATGTAACAACCGCGGATATGGTAGTGAAGCAACATGAAGCAACTCTGCTGTTTGAGCATAAGGATTCGGCACTAAGCCATCCAGCACCAAGAATGGTGGCTGCATTGCGTGCAGTTCTCGCGGCCTTTTGCGCATTCACACGCCATCGGCACTTTCACCCGGAATGGAGCAAGCAAGACGGGTTAACTTTCACCATCTGGACAAACGCATGGGTCGCTCATGTTTTACGACAGCCACTGACAAGCTCACCTGCCTTGGCCAGGCGATTGCGTAGCGCACGGGTTCGCCCCAAGAAATGTCCTGCAAAAGCGCACGCACCAGCCCTCGTTGGCTCAGCCACTTGCCGCCTCCAAAAGCTAAACGATCGCAAGGCGCTGTCCATACAGAACTCGCCCAGGAGATGTGGTGCAAGCTGTAGAACATCACCACCGCCAATGGCAGCCACCTGATATCCCAGTGTACAGCGGGATGGCTCGCGCGCACGCTGCATGCAAAGTCGAATCTGCCCCCCTGAAAATACGCCTGCTGCGCCAATGACTGGAGGTCCGCTGACGCCCCTGGTCGGCCATGACTGTCCGCCTTTGTAAAGTGAGCTAGAGTAAAACTTACCCGCCGGCGCCTTGAGGAACTAAGATAGACACCACTGACTTTGCAGCGGCAACAGCGCCTGTAGCAAGACTGCTTTTTGGTTCTGAGAATTGCCCAAGAAGTTGCCACATTTTGAGCCGCACACGCCTGGGTGAAGCAAGCGCTCCAGACACACGTGATTGTAGTGCCTCGGCTCATAATTAATGGCATGTATTTGGTGACCTTGGAGGCCTTTTTGTTTTCTCACTGCGTTAGCTGAGGCAAGCTCACTGCAACTATAGACGGCAGCTCACGCAAACGCAGCTGCTTTTGATCGTCAACAGGCCCGTCGGCCTGTCGACTTGTGGCACAAGCGCAGGAGAGGAAAAACAGCAGGAAATAAAACGAACAACGAAAACCAACCAGCCTTGGTAGCGACTAGTGGCTGTAGCTGCTTCTGATAAGCTCCTGGGCATGAAGCGTGTGAATCAGGGGCTTGATGTCTTGCACATTGCAGGCAAAAGGCTTATGTCGCGTTTGGCCTTTGCGCGGTACAGAGCCTCAATCATGCACCGCAAAAGGCTCAGAGGCTGAAACCTGCAATGCCAATGAAACAATCAATGCGGAAGTGCATCCTCAGTGGATGCTGCATGCATTGCCTCCCATCCCAACCGAAATGAGCGAGAAACAAGTGGCTCACTGCAACGACTCAGCGTTCCATTTGCACCGCCACTACGAAACAGAGCCCCCTGCGGCAGAGGGGCAGCAAAAATTGGTAAACATGCGCGTGGAGAAAGTGAGCGGACATCACAATACAGTGGACGAGGTGAAGCACCAAAGCAGTTCTCCCTATGCATCAGGAAAGTTTGGATAGGTTTGGCGTCGGCCCTTCTACTGATGATGATCGCCTGTTGTGGAGGACAGCTTGTCCGCAGAGCTGCACACGACTTACATGCTACGCTTGCGTGAAATTGTTTGTCTCATTCGTCATATGACACCTGAGGTCTTAGTGCCATGTCGAACTTCCCGGCAGCTCCCACGCTTTCTGGTTGAGTGAGGCCAAGTTGGTAATGGGCGGAGCTAGACCGTCCCATTGTTTTTTTTCCACAAGTAAGGCGGAGCACCTTGTGTCTCCGTCGGCATTGCCTTTGACTACTGGGGGTACAAAAGAAAAAATGCGAGCGGCTCAAGGACTTTGACATGGGCGTGGAAGATTTCAGGATCTACGGCATTAGGGGCCTCGAGGAGGCCTGCGACACGGCCGAAGAGAAGGCGCATGGCTTTCTTGGGGCGAGGCCTGAAGGTTGAGAGAAGTGAGGATGGAACTCTTCGAGATGTTGGGGGGTTGGCGGCAACGGCCAGAAAGAGAGACGAGAGGCTTTTGGCATTGGCCAATCTGATTGCCGACATCAAAGGCGGGGATCAACAACAAGAGGGATGAAAAGCAGGAGAGCATGAATTCGAGCGGAAGCGCAGCTCCGAGGTCATACGCAGGAGGAATGGCCAGGAGGTTGAGGAGGGCTACTCGCCAAACGGGCTCCTCCCAACGTTGGAGAGACTGGGTGATAGAGCAGCTAGCCAACCTGGGAGCCTCCTTGGCCGACTCACAGCCATCATTGAGTCGGCTAAGACCGGTAAGTCGGTTATGGAGGACGAGCCTGGAACCGTGCAGAAGAAAAAGAAGGGGAAGGACAACAGGAACACGGCCGAGGCTGGGAAGAGCAAGGGCAAGAAAGCCAAAGATGAAGGCAAGACTGGGCTCTTTCCTGGGAGGCGTGGCTGCGAGAAGAGGGGAAAAGGTTACAGCCAGTACCGTGGACTTTGCGGACTAAAGACTGGCAAGTTGACAGGGTATTCACTCACTTGCATGACATTGAGAAACCGATCTTGGTTCAAGCTCGTTCTGAGATTGGAACGCCTTCTTCCTGTTGGTGCACTCTGGGAAGAAGGTCGACTGGTCGCATACAACCGCTGTTTGCGGCTGCATCCCGGTGTTTGTATTAATCAATTTAAACCCGGGTGTGGAACACAGCCGCAGTTGAGCCGCCAGGCTTTGCGGACATAAGTGCAGCAGATGTGTGGCAGGGAAGTTCCTAACTCGGGGAAACACCTACGCTTTTTGCGGGTCCTTCCGGCCCTTCCTGACCTGCAGGTTGCCTGGTTGCTGTTGTCGTGTCGCGGCGTTGCAGAGGTGTTTGAGTACAGCAGCAAAAAGTGCTGTTTGGAGATGGGGGAGGCATGGGGAGGCCCTTTCCCGGACATTGCCGTCCTGCAGTCGCAGCTTGCCCTGCGACGGGGCGGCTTGGGCTGCGGGCCGCCTGCCAGCCATCCAAGCAAAATGCCCCGTGCTGCCGCCTTGACAAGAGTTTGAGGCTCCGCGCTGGCACCAGCTTCTTGGCAGTGGCCACCGCATGTCGCGGACGATGCCCCCAGCATCGGGCGCGCAGTGACAGCCTTGATGCAGCATCCTGTTGTCGCAGTCCGGTCCGTGCTCAGCCCAAGTCTTCCTGAAGCTGCCTGTGCGGAGTTGGTTTTTGAGCAAGCGCATTTCCGAGTGTTACTTCTGAAGCGCTTGCGCATGCCAATGCCTTCAGTGTCAGCGCAAATGCCGGCGTGGCAGAGAGCAGGATGCTCTAGGCCGCTGGGTGTGTTGAGAGTTTGTGGTGGGCTGCTTGGGCGCGCAGCTGCGCATTTTGGCAGCGTGCTTGGGGATGACCGTTATCGCAAACGGCTTGCCTCTGGCTTGCCGTCGGCACTCCGCTTGTCTCAGCCTTGACCTCTTCGGGCGCCGCTCGGCGCTACCAGGGCCGAGTCGAGGGTGCGGCCCTGCGCGCTGCGCGTCGTGCCAAAGAACTTTGGACATGGTCAGAACTATTGTGAAGCGAGGGCCTTGTCACCAAGTCCTCTTCGCGTGCACCCCGAAACGATGGCGAACAGCGGGCTTGTTCAGCGGCTAGCACGGGTGCGTGCGAGAAGCGTGCCGTCTCAAATTTGCTCGGCGATGGTCGTTCTTGTTGGCTGCCAGCGCATGCCGTGCGTATGCCGCCAGCCTGTGTGCCCTCCCCGCTCCTCCTGCCTGCGTGTGAGGAGCTGGCCTCTTTGAAAACAGCCGTGGCTGGGTTTTCCAAGGGTGGGACAAAGGCGCACAAAAAAACACAACAGTAACAGCCGCACAAGTCGGGGACCGCGCGGATGGCTTGCAGCAAGGTGTCCTGTTTGGCACAGAGCTGATGCAATTGAGCCGCAACCCCAACGCCCTGCCGTTCCTATTTCGCAGAGGTGTACATCGGTTTTGCGGTTGCCGTCGGCATCCCTGGGAGGGCTGCATGGAGGACTGCCGCACGCACTGGAGTGCTACGGGTGGCGGGAACACCGAAGTGGTGGAACCAAGGCGAAATTGAGGAGCTCACGAAACAGACTGGCCTTCGGGACATCGAGGATCGAGGTGATCAAAAAAAAAAGTGTAGAAGAACGGATGCGGTTTGCCTGCTGCGGGGGCTTCGGGAAGGTGATGAGGAGCCCTGGGGGTGCCCTGGAGGCACATGGACGATGGAGCTCCGGAAGGAGAAACAAATCGGAGGGAAGCCGCTGGCATTTGAGACCGCGATTCAATTTCAAGAGAAGGACCAGGGAAAAGGAAGAGGCAAATCTAAAGGAGGGACGGAGAAATGGGCGAGTGAGAGCACCTCGCATATTGCCATGATGGTCGACAAGATCATCGATCAGAAGAAGAAGAAAGGTAAGGGAGAAAAACTAGCCCCGGGTCCAGCGATGATCTTGTTCCAGACGCATGTGCTCCCCTCTTTGAAGTCCCTTTGCCCGCTTGAACTCGTAGCAGCGGTCCCACAAAACGCGGCCTCTGTATGGCGTTTGAACCCTCCTCACAAGGGCGGCGCCCTTTGGCTGCATGGCCATACCCCACCCCGTCCTCGATGGTGATCGTGACATCAGGCTGCGGGGCGACAAGCGGACAACCCTGCCCTCGGGCCCCAAACCTTAACGCGCGACGCGGGCCCACGCTTGTTCAAGCAAGGGGGCGCGGCGGGCCAACAGTCCGCTGCGCGGGCACGCTGCCGCATGGTCGCCCAAAACATCGAGCATGGCGCCGCACCCTGGGAACCCATCGCCTCCGCAATACCGGTGCGTGAGGGGGAGCGCGAGGCGCAGGCGCCGGCGCAAGGCGACGTGCATGTGCAGCGTGGTTCCCGGGTCAGTCGGCACAGCCGCAAGCCAAGCCCCCACACGCGGGCTAGACTGCGATCGGAAACAAGCGCGGTCGCTCGGGCGCATGTGTGGCAGAAGGGTTCGAACTCTTCCCTCACGCCGCTGCAAACCTAACCTTCCGGACCGATCCTTTCTCCGGAAAACTGTCCTCCGCTTTGTTTGCCTAGCTTCTGCAGATCTGGTCCCTGTAGCTTCATAATTGCGCCGAGGGCGCAAGAGGCTCTTGGTTGCAGATGGCTGCGAAAGGATATGACTGAAAGGGTATGATTCGGGGTATGAGTCGGGGGTATGAGCCGGGGGAATGAATCGCAGGGAAGATTTTTTTAACAGAAAGAGACTCAGCGAGCATGGCTAAGAAAGCTTGCAATCACGCGGGGCTCCTGCACGCGGCAGCGCCCTTGCACTCGGAACAAGCCCGCGCTATGTGAAACTATGAAACAGAGCGTGTCAACCCGCGCCGAATCAGGAAAGGTTTGGTGAGTGGTCAAACTCCCAACCACGTAGCTGCAGGGGCGAGATGTCCGTCACAGAGTTTTCAATCCGTCTTGGTCATTTTTCGACCCGCGCCGGAGCGGTACACGTACCAAAGCCGAGCGCGCAAGTCCGCCCCTTGACGCAGCAGCGAAAGCGCATTTGGGATAAACAGCAAGTCCACCCCATACTAAATGTCAGCTGGCGCGCGATGAACTGTGAGCCAACAAATTTCTAACTCTAACTTTCACGGTAAACGCCAGTTAGAGTAGAACACTGCTTGGGGACACACAGTTTATTGCGTTGCCCGCTGGACAGGCCCCACTTGCATACTCTTAGCTAAGGCCTTCAAGCAGGCTTACACGGTCAGCGGGTATGAATCGCCCAGGTCCCGCTTCCCACAAGCTCTGCTGCCTGAGCCGCTCGCGCCAGGTGATGCTGCCACTTTGCGACAGTTCACCGGTCCTCGGAGTCGGCCCCGCCACGCGATCACTTGTGTTGGCGCCAAGGGGCTCAAGTGCTGGCTGTCCCCCCCCCTTTCGGGGTTCTGTTCGCGTTTCTCTCGTGTTTCTACTTTTTTTGTTGCTTTGTTCCGGCTGGGGCTCCTCCAGCCGCGGAAACCCCTTTTTACATCGATGCGGCGAGCGTGTCTGCGCGCAACGATGCTCAATGTGTATCGTCACATGAGAGATCCATCGCATCGTCCTACGAGAGGAAACGTGGCTGTGCAAGCTGCATAGCTGCTGCGCGCAAGTTGCTCTCTGCAAGCAGGTGGCTCAACATCTGTCTTCAAGCTGTTCTGTTAACGTTGCTCTGTGCAAGTTTCTGTCTCCGCAAGGCCAACAGAGACTGGTTGCAGCACGCTGGCCCAAGAAAACCATTTGGGTCTGCATTTTTTAGTCTATTGCCGAGCTGGTGAGTTTCCCTGGACGCGCCAACCGGACAGCGCGCTCGGCCCTGCTGGCTGCGTCACAGGTGGAGCGCGACGCGGAACTGGCAATCCATCGTGCGAGCCTCGCAAGCGCCCGCCTCTCAGTCCAGACATGAGGACCCACAGCTTACGGCCGGGAGCTGCGGCGACGAAATCACCAAGATCGGGAGCCACAGGATCGCTAGCCACAGCACCAACGTTGGCAGTGGGCAGGGATGGACGAGCGCGGGCTCGTGCGCGCAGGGCGTGCCAGTCAAACGCCAAGCTGGCCACACAACATCATAAGCTGATTGCCATCCTTGCCTGCGCAACGCGCATTGAATGCGCTACGAACGCCCTCGCGCGGCAGCGACATGCGGCCCGGTCCCTTCGGACAACCGGGCCACGGCAGGCGGGGCACACGTCCGTGCTGCGCGCCGGGCATGGCTGGCGTCCCGAAGCCACTTCCACCTCGGACGGGAGGCGTTGTTGCCGTAAAGGTCTTGCGTGTCAACCTGCAGGGTGTCCCAACCCTCTTGGCAACCACGCGCAGGTTGGCCCCGAGCTCGATCGGTCCTCCCAGCGCCGCTCGGTCGTCCTTGGAGCTGAGGTGGGGTGGGCGATTGGTCCACCGGTTGGTGAGCCCAACGTCAGTGACGTGCATGCGGACCCCACTGGCCCCGTTCATCGAGGGTGCTCGCCAGCCGGTTTTCGGTGCCAGCCTCCCGTGTGGACCTCTTTGCTAGCTGTAGGCAACTAGTCCTGGTGCGCGGGGGGTCCCCTTTCAAGCGCGTTTTTGCGGGGGAGTCGACTCAGGCAGCTAAAAAAGGCGCGCGGAAGAGAAAAAACACCAGGACGTCCACCAAACATGCTCGCATCTTCCCACGTGGACGACGTGCACGGTGTGCCAACCGCACGCAGTGGCCCGCGTTGGCCTGGTTGTGTTGCAGGAGCATGAGGGCGTTGCCCCACAGGCCGCAGCAGGGCCCGCGGTGCAACAGCACGCCTCTCAAGGTGAAACAGCGGCTCAGAAAGCCGCAGGCCGCGGCGCGTTGGACAACCCGAAGCCGCCAAGCCGCGCGAGCAGGAAAGCGGCGCAACCGCATTGTCGTGGGCGACTGCCTAAGCGTATGACTGGGACGGGGGTAACGTACGCAAAGGATGCTGTGCCCGGGGGGCGTGTTGCAAGTCCGCCAGCTCCGGCAGCTCCTCAAGGAACCGCTGGCGCGAATGATCTTGCAGAGCCAAGCCAAGCAAGCAATCGATGAGAAGCATGGGCCATAGCAGGGCCTGTTTCCTTTCGCTGGTTACTCTCTTGTTTCCTGCGCTCTTCTGCAGGGCTGCCCACAAAAAAATAATAAACAAAATGCTCTGACACGTGGCGCAGGCCGCGGCCTTCTAGTCTGGCGCTCTGCAGCACCGCACGGCATGTGCACACTGGTCGCAACAGGGTCGTAATGAATGCTGGGCAAAGCGAGCAAGCGGAACAGGTGAAGCACCACATGGAGAGCATTCGGAAAATTACCGGCAAAGAAGCCCTCCTGACAGCAACCCAGTTTAAGAAGTAGAGCTGCGGCTTCGAGTGCGGAACGTGGGGCACGTGGAATCGCCAAGCGAGGTAACCTTGGGTTGCGTGCGTGTCGTCGTGTGAGCAGCGCGTGCCGATGTAGGACAAGGAGTTGCCTGCCGCAACGTTCGTCAGCAGCTCCAGTGAAGTCTTGAGCTATCCAGGCTGGATCGGCCGTTTGCGAACTTCAAATACTCTCCCCTCGACTCTGCGCTTTCGTATTCCAGACTTGTTTTCCTGTTTCTGATGTGTTCTGAATGTCGCTTTGAAAGCCACCTGTCTGGACAGCATAAAAGCAGGCGCATGCCAAGTCCTCAAGCGCCAGGGGGCGCGTGGATGGCGGGGGCTTTGAACTTCCGCGGGGGCACGCACCTTTGATTCAGGACTAGCAGCTTCCTGGCTTTCTTTACGTATATGCCCTGCTGTTGTTTGCTAGTGATTGTGGATTTCTGAGACTCATTATAACTCATTGGACAATTCTGGCGCCGAGCAAGAGGTGTGGTTCACAGGCTTAGCAAGCACTTGTCAAGATTGAGTACCATTGCCCATTTGGCGCGCTTTCGGCACAAGGGGTTGTCACAACTACATTATTGATATTAAATAACAACAAAAAAACATGTGTGTAATCAAACGAGCTCCGTGCATGAAAGCAACCGTTTTATGACACAGGGCGGCACGTTGAGCCTAAAAACTGTTCAGTGCCGAAGCAGAGACGATGCTTGAAAGTCGGGTGGGATGTAGGCTCATCGAACGTCTTACAAGCATTCGATGTGCAAACGACTTGATACTGTATGCTAACATTTTACGGGAGATGGTCGCTGGACCAACCGCAATGGATCGGGTGACATGATCGAAGCGCAAAACGGGGATGCCTTTTGCCGTTGGCTTGTGAAGCGTGTGTGGACACCGGAGACGGAAAAGTCCGGCTGAACTGGACAGTCAAATTCGTGAAGGTTGAACGGAAAAAAACTCTCATTCACGGTTCTGAGAAAAAACGCACCGAGGCAGGTGCAAAAGAAAACAGAACAGGTCTGGCAGTGAGTGTCATTGGTGAGGCGCCGGCGAGCCGTGCATCTGCGGGGTCAGACAGAAATGCCTTGCACAGACCGGCCCCCAGAATGGGCCCGATGTCCACTTACGCTGGGAGCAACTCAGGCGCAGCTTCTCTCAACTCTCCCACCTTCAAGGCGATCCCGCGTTGATGCGCGCCGCTTGCTGCCTTGCCCAGAGTCGGCGAATAACAAGCCGACGAACGCGGCGTGGAGCTTAGCCCCATGCCGCCAGTCCAAGCAGCACTGGAACGCGCAAGTCACTCCGCCTCGGGCTTGCCTCGGCCATCCCTTTAAAGCGACAAGCAAATGGCTTGGGTCCCGGGTGGCTCGTGCGGTTTGGGCACTCGTGGTGTGGTCGGTCTCTGGTTTTGAGCGCCCTTCTGCAGGGCCGTTACTCCCTTGCAACGCTTGCAGGTTCTACGCCGCACTGTGGATATCCAGGCATGAGGTTCCCTCAGGAAGCTGCCTAAACTAATCCAACATGGCTCAAGCATGCTCAAACGCCTTTTTGTTTCGAGCCCGCAGAAGAGCCGCGTTTGGGACGTCATGTCTCTTTCCTACGTTCCAGCAGGGAAGTGTCCTTCCACTGCTGCCCAAAGGAACACAAGCGATGGTACGCATTGCTGCACCGCACCCCTATTAGATCCCTGCTCTTTAAGATCGTCACCTATGTATCTATGGAGAGTCTAGTGTTGGATGTGGCACAGCTGGCGCACTGAAGCGTGCACACCTGCTCCTCGCAAAGACTTGCATGTTAAAAGCCAGAGCATAAGATAGCCTCCGGCAATCGAAACGTACAAATGGAGACCTGCGAAAGCTGGCTGCCGCACAGCATATGGCACAAGCAGCTAGCTGCGCAGCCCTCGACGGAACTAGGAGTGACACCCTCCACTTGTTGCACCAGAAGTTGGGTGGGCGTCCAAAGGCACATGTTGACACTGTTACAGGTTTGATTGCTGCATCTGATGAGAACTACCATAGCAACATCTCGAATATTCTGGCAACATCCCAACTTCATAGTGCATCAAGGTGGAGAACTGAAATACAAAATCGACTCGCTGCTCGCTCCTGCACAAGCTCGTGCGGGTTGAAAGCCTCCAGTTCCACGTAAGTTGGGCTACAGGAGATGCTGCAGGCAAACAGCATATTTAGAGTGTCTTGGGGCCATTTCCTGTAGACTTTCCTGTAACTAAACCCTTTGATTGTTACATGGGTGTGGGTCAAACCCAATGGTACCATTTTGGGGTAGGTGCACTACCCATTTTAGTAGGTGCCATTTTGGGGTAGGTGCACTATTTTAGTGGGGATTGGGACGGAACTATGGACTCTCTCTGCCTCTCCTCGACTTCCAACGAACAAATGCCGCGGCAGTCCTCGGGTCTAAACCTTCTCAAAGCGTTCCCTCACCATGGCGGCCAGGGAGTCTGAGGTCTTCTTGGCGTCGCCCAGCAGCATTTCAGTGTTCTCCTAGCACCAAAAGGCTGATCTGTCACAGGCGCGCGGAGTGAAGCCTTCACTCGGTTGCTTTCTGCTCCCCTGCTAAAAGCTTAACTTTTGGGGATTTAATGGAAAACCCACTAGTTGGCAAAAAGTTAAAGTCCTAACATCCAAGCAGAATGCACCAAAGTTCAGTTGGCTTTTGAATGGGATACTTCAATTAAACCCACGTTGCGTCCGGAACGCCGAAAAGCTGAGTGCCACAGCATGCAAAGCAAGGCAACTTAGTTGCAGCATCCTTGTAGAACACCGGGTTGTCCAGATCCGCATAGCCTGCCGGAGCCAAACCGCGCTCAAAGCCACAGAAGCCGCGAAGGCGCGCCACTTTGCAGTCAAAGCAGCTGGAAAAGGCGAGGGGTCCGGGGCATAGCACTAACTCCGGGGCTTTCCAGGCAAACCCCGGCCCGCCTCCACCCATTGATCGCTTGCAGAAGATCACCTTCTTGGACCGCCAAACCTCGATCACCGGCATGCCCCAGATGGCGCAGCCCTCGATTTCCTAGCAAAACGCTGGTGCCCCCAACCTCCTTGCGACAACTTGACGCAAGGACGTTTAGAGATTGCCAGATCCTGCCTGAAACCTATGATGCATGACTCATGAGGCTGGACCCATGCAAGAAAGGCGGTGAGCCGGCCACGTTTGAGCCCAAGAAAGCTGCGCCCCAAAAATCGGCCGCCGTCCCGCCGGCCGCTCCTGCGCTGCGGAGTTCACCACATCGTTGGCGCCCACCACGAGGACCACGTCGTTGCTCTCCATGTCGGGGTTCCTAAGCACGGGATCCCGATCCGCGCCCGCGCCCGAGTGGATCGAGCCGCGAGCCGCACGTAAAAGAGGGGAGCCGGAGTTGGCCGGATGGCTCTCTCCATGGGTATCCAACGGACATTACACTGGCACATTTTGCTCCCAAGTAGCTGGGATCGGGCTTGGCCCGCTTCCTAAGACATGCCATTGATGAAGGGACCCTAAGACCATACCCGAGTCATCAGCAAGCAGCCTGACCATCCAAGGTGCACTTCGTCCATCTCCAGCACCCATTCGTGGGGCACGCCTGCCTGTCGGTGGCTCAGATTCATGCCCGCGGGGTTCATAAAAATCTTGATTCGGTGGCCCCACATTGGCTTTCAATAGCATTTGCTTGTTGATTTGGGCTGGTTCAGCTGGCTTCAGCGTGGCGTAATGCTTGGTGTTTCCAATCCCGTCCCATCCCTTGCCTTCTTTTCCTTTCCCCCCTCGCCTCCCCTCCCCTCCCCCTTCCCTTCCCTTCTCTTCCCGTCATACTAAATTCTCCTTCAGTTTGCTGGATACCTCATAAATGATTGTGTGTGATGCCTCTCCGGCACACACACACACACAGACACACAGACACACAGAAACACAGACACACAGACACACAGACACACAGACACACAGACACACAGACACAGAGACACAGAGACACACAGACACACAGACACACAGACACACAGACACACAGACACAGAGACACAGAGACACAGAGACACAGAGACACACAAACACACAAACACACCGAACCTCAAACAGGCAAACCACCCAGCTCCAGCTAGCACCAAATGAGGCAAAAAGACATTCATACAGAGAGTAAACATAGGCTTGCATAGCTGTCGGCATCCCCCAACGCCTCAGCCAGCAGCACGTTCATCTGCCCAGGCATGCGGCCCGCCACCGGATGCACACCTCGGCACATCAAACTGTGCGAAACCGGAGACTGCCTCGAAAGGCCGTGACTGACGCTCCCAACAAGCCTCAACCCACCCTGCCAGAGCTGGCTGGCTCCTTGTGGCATGCACCATGAGCACCCCCTGACTCACTTCTGCGACTCGCGTGGAGAAGCCTTCAGCCCTTCCGCCCAGGGGCCAAACTTCAGCTTGATGTTGTTGGCTCGCAGTGTGGCCGCCAGGTCCCCCATGGCGGTCCTCAGGAGTTTCTTCCCTTTGAGGCGCCGAAGGCGGACATTTGCCAGCTGCATGTGGGTGTGGGTCAAAAATGGGCACCCAAAAGGCCCATGATAGAACCTTGGGTAATGGAACCAAGGACTAAAATCTGTGGTCCCCCGGTGGTCTTTTTGACCCATAGCCATGTGAAGTGATGTCTGACCCATCTGCAGCTGGACTACTGAGCACGTGCCATGGCCATGCCGTAGCCAGGCACCACCAGGACTTCCTGACGCGTAGCGACGTAGCGACGGGTGGCTGGCCACCGGCCGACAGAAACTTGACCATTTGCCCTATCACCCCCACGTCCCTGTCGGCACATGTTAAGTACATGCACGCCCACATATGTATGCGTCTTTATGATATCTACTGGTATACATGTGTATACATATCTATCTATATATATATATATGAAACGACCCCCTGGTGCCCATGGGTGCATTTATTTAAGCGATGAGTTCAGGTGTTGGACAAGAATCGGCATCAAGGAAGGGGGAAGGCCATGCGGGCATGACTTTCTTGTTCAGCAGCGCCGCAAAAACCAAACATCAATGGTGAACAATACTGCGCGCTATAAAATCCCGTAGAAAAGGTCACGCTCCTTGACTTTGGGCCAAAGATGGCTTAACTATGGTCAGGCCCAAAACCTGACCAAACAAAACTCAGAGGAGCAGGTTTTGTGTTGCCAACTGTTTGGTTGGTTTGGCTTTCCAGTTTGGGTTGGTACTCCCTCAGCTTCTTGGTGTGTTGGAATTATCCTTCCAAAAATAACAAGAACAAGTCAAGGTGTTCTGTGGTGATCAGAAGGGAAAAGAAACCCAAAACACCTCGAGGTGGTTTCGTTTGTTATTTGGATAATGCCAACAAACTATGTCAATAGGCTGACCTGCCATCTTGTGTCAAAACTTTCTCCAAGTTACCAAGGAAATCGCAATTTGTTTCCTGCCGCGATCGATTGCAAGCCCATTCATCTGCTCAAATCCATCACACCACACCATGCGCTCTCAAATCAAGCAAAGCAGGGGTACCTGTGACTGAAGCGTGGCACCAAGCTCTTTTCCAGGCTGGGCTGTTGTAGCCTCTACTCGTTCAATAGGAGTAGGTAAAGCACGTGCTGTGGCGGGTAAAGTACCTGCTGTACACATGCATAGCAGAACATACATATATATATATATGACTACTGAAGTATGTGTATATGTTATATATATATATATATATATATGTATATATATATATTATATACATTTATGTATGTGTACGCATGCATGAGTAGGCAGCTGTGTCTACAAAAATAGGTACATATATCTACCTGTACGTGTGCCACAATGTCTAAGCTTTGGTCGCCTCATTTTTCGGCTGCCGCGCCTTGGCGTTGCACAGCATCTCCGCCACCGCGGCACAGCTGGTCTCTGTGTGCTCCTTGGGCCCGCTGTCGCCGCCACCTGACACGGCGGGGGCGTTGTTCAGGCCGCCGAAGAGGACGTTCATGATGTCGCGGTTCATGGCGTCGCACCTGGCCGGACAAATCACGGGGCAGGCTCACCCGACCTCCCCTTTAAGGCCTTAAGGTGGTAATATTTGTTCTTACCCCCAGGGCCGGTCATGTCCCTGCACCGGCCGGGGTGCATGATCTTGGTGAGGATGGCTCCGCTGAAGCCAATCAGGGAGCCCACGATCGTCAGCACCGGGCTCTGCAGCAGGAAGCCCTGCGCTGGGCCATGCGAGCGAAGTAACCGATGGAGGCAACAGCTGCCAACCCGTACATCTTTGCAGAATGATCCTGGTTTCACCTTCCTACGAATCATCAAATTTGCTTTCCAAGCCTTTGCAAGCACCAGGCTAACAGAACATTGAACATGTCGGAATGTGTCCAGCGCCGAAACGATGGCTTCCTCCCTCTGTCAGTACAGTACCTATCTTCAGTTGTGCGCTATGTGATCACCCCTGGCGCTTTCATTATGAACAGCAGACAGACAGCTCTTGAGGAGAGGTTACAACTGCAAGCGTGCGACAAAAGTATGGTTGGGTGTCAAAATTTGGTGTTGGCAACTTTCGGCTTGAGGTGCTGAAGCATTTCCTTGGCCTCTCCAGCCAATCCCATCATGCGCCAACAAACCGCCTAGCCTGCCTTCGTCTGCACCAACCACTTGGCGAAGCAGCCCAACCTCCCTGACGGCCCAGGGCCCAGCCAGGGCCTCCGCCACCAGGGCCCAGCCCGAGTAGGAGTTCAGCACGGTGATGCACACGGGCATGTCGCCCCCGCCCACGGAGCCCACGAGGTGAAGGCCCATGAGGCAGGCCAGGGCCGCCACCAGCCAAAGGATCATGATACCCTGGCCTCCTGGAGTAGAAGCTTTGCAGTGTCCATTTCAAGCCCCAAGAGGCTGGGGGTTGACCTGGGGGCTGGTGGCTGCAAACTCCCATGGCACCACTCTGGTTGTCAAATTGGCTTTAGGATTGTGAGGCTCTACAGACTGTTTCAACAAACGTGGACTTAAATGACGAGCATCTTGGATGGTCTTACTAGTAGCGTGCCATGACGATTTCCTCCAAGCGGATGAAAGCTAGCCTTTGCTTTTGCACCTCTCAAGCAGGCATCGATGCTTGAAGCCAGGCCTGAGGTGTGCAGGAACTTGTAGATCCAAAAGATGAAGAGGAGCAAGCCGCAGAGGTTCAGATAGTTCTTGCCTGCCAGTCAGCACATTCAAACGGTGTTCGCAAAAAAAAAACAAAAAACACTCCTCCACGCAAGGTTGGCAGAAAGAGTTGGCGGAAACCGGCAAGACAAACGGAGCAAGACACACCCGGGCGGAACGTGTTCACATGGGATCGGGGAGTCTGGAGCCTCTCTGTGGCCTCCGTTGGCGGGACTGCACTTCCGGCCAAGCCCAATGGCCAGTTTATCAAAAGCCAATGGCTTCTACTGTTAGGTTGCAGTGATGTCACTGGAACGGCCACGGGCTATGTCCAGCAAATGGGCGATGCCCTAGCGGCAGCCAGAGCTGATTGGCTTGACATTTTGTCCCTTGGGCTCCAAATCGGAGTCGCTCACCCGAGTTGGGACGTGGAAAGCAAGCTGCAGCACATTGTTATGCATTGCTGGGCGCCTTGGTCTCTATTCGATGGCGGCTCCTTATTGCACCTTTCTGTTGCCGCCCTTCCAAGAGAACCGGCAACATCTCCAAGCATCCCCAAGTCGAGGATTCCTTCTCCTTGGATCTGTATGCTCCAAAGGTTAGGGCAGTTCGACTCGCAAGCCATGAGTTCTCCAAATGGGTGTCTTTTTTAGGGAACCCTCTTGGTCTCCCTTCAAAACACACCCCAACAAGTGGGTTCCATCAACAACATCCAGACCCCTGGATGCTTTCCTCCCATGTCTGACCGACACGAAGCGGCGCGAAGCGCACCTGGCAGGTCCAAAGGTTTGGAGGCCAAGTTCCCATTGAGCTTCCCGAAGGCAATGAGGCCTGGACTCGCTGCGCGGCGGCGTCTTCCGATTTGTTGCGTCACCAGACCCCTACAAGATACCCCTGAGGTTTAAACTGTCATATTTCTTCTTTGAAGCTTGAACGGTTTGGTCTGGGGGTCTGGGAAAGTCTGTGACTCTAGACCTAAGATGGCTTTTGGGTTCACTCGTGGTTTCCGTTTAAAGCCACAACACGGGAGAACACCCGGCAAAAGACACACCCCTGAAACAAATGTTCGGAGTTTCGCGGACTTCAAGCTATCGACTTGCCTCCCATGAAAGACAATGCTTGGGATTAGAGCAGCTTCGACCGCACAGTAATTTCATGTTATGGAGGGGTCCTTGTCGCTCTTGCATCTTTCTCTCTCTCTCTCTCTCTCGCGTTCTCTCTCGCTTTCTCTCTCGCTCTCTCTCTCTCTCTCTCTCTCTGTGGCTCTTTCTCTCTCGTTGCGCAGCATAACACATCGCAGCATCCTCATCAGTTGAACAAGCTGGGGCTTACCCCGACTATCCCACACAACTACTCCATATTCCCTCCCCCCCAAACAAAAACACACCCACACAAACAAGAAAGAATATGCAAAAAAATGAAAAATACTTGTTGAAAAAATTGAGGAGAAAAACAAAGAAGGGTAAAAAGGGGAAAAAAGAAGAAGAAAGAAAAAACGAGAACCAGAAGTGCTCCCAGCCAGGCAGCTTCCGGTCAGGGTCACGCCCCCGATGAAGTCGCCCAAGACGGCCGCAACATTCTCCATCGTGGCGCCAGCCACCGGGGTCTCTACGAAGGAACCGATGGAGGTGCCTGCAATGCGCTGGACACGTGTCAAAAGTTGGTCCATTTCGGAAGCAACAAAAAGACTGAAGTGCCTTTGAAGGAAAAAACCTTGCTTTGCATTCCCAAGAATGCCAAACTGCTGCAAGCACCAGGCATAAAACCCTAGTGGATGATGCAACGAAGCACTCAAGCAAAAACCCTCTGTGCCTGCTTCGGGCGACCGTCAAATCTCTAGGCGAAAACACAAACAACGTCCTTGTCTGCATTGGAAGTATGCAACGCAACGACAAATAATTTAGGGGTAGGATGGAAGACCTGGGGAGATTGGGTAGATCAGAAGGGAACAACAAAAAAATCATTGAACCGCTGAACACACAAAATGAGCAGCTTACCACATATGGCCTGCACAACATGGACATGCCAACACACAAACACCCGCAGGATACCGCGGCACCATTTCCTGGGCCTCGGGGCCTCTGGGCGCTATCTGGGCCTCTGGGCTGCCGGGCACATGGCCGCCAGGCCCACCAAGGAGTGGAAGGCGGCCACGGTCTGCGGCAGCGCGATGGGGCTCACCTGCATCCATCCAGTTGAGGTCAGGGTGGTTGGCCACCCATTGGGCTGGGGCCGCGACAATCGGTTCTTAGCCAGCCGGACACCCGAAGAATGGGAGAGAAGACTATCAAGCTATCAGTATCAAGCTTCAAACCAAGTGTCCAACTCACCGTGGCATTCAGCGAAGAAGCTCTACTTCGACCACCCGAATCTCTCTCCTAAACCTCCACCTGACCTTACCAACCAAAACCTTCCCAACGACCTATTTACCTTCCCGGTTGCTGGCTCCCTAGTCATTCAGCTTCCCTCACTGATTGGTGGTTTGAATCGGCCACTAGATCACCATCGCCTGAACGCCCAGCACAAGGCCAGCAGTTCCCCCCACCACCAGCAGGATGCTGCACAGCACAAAGGCGCCGCTGTCCAAACCTCAGCTCCACATCCCAGCCCCAAATCTCTCGGATCGGCAAAGGGAACCCAAATGGGTGTGGCTCAAAATTAACCAGGAGGGGTTACGCAGGTTTTGGTCCATGTTTCCACTTACCAGGGTTCCATTTTGGGATCCCGGTTTTTGAGCCATAGCCAAATGTTCGACATGAGCCCAAGGGCACCGTCCGGGCTTGTTTCAAATGAGGTCGCTTCAGGTGGCCGGGAACTCGGCGGTGCAGCCTTCTGCTCAAGTTGCTCCCGCATCGTTGTCCGGCCCGTCACTCGGCAAAGATCCTCTGGCCCTTGATGCCCTCCGGTTTTCAGGTGATGGCTCAGTGTATGTGATGATGCCCAAGGACAACAACCTGCTTCAAATGGCACGAGTCAGGCATGGAAGACATCAGCGTCCAGATGAAAGAACAGATGTTGCCCCACTCCAGTGAAACTCAACTGATTCTCCAGAGTCATTCCAGTGAGAAATATTTAAGCAATTGGATGTGAGATTTGGTTCGGGAAGACAATGAACTGACTTGTTTCCAGACACTCAAGTTCAAGCCGAGCCGAATTGTTGCTCACCTGCTCACCATCCCGCTTCTCAGCGTCACATAATAATGTAGTTGCTTGTGAGGCAAAGAGCTGATCTGAAAACAGGCGATCATTGGTTCAGAGCTGCTGTCTGAGAGCACACTGCTGCTCTTGGGGGTTGAGTGGATTGACTGGTCTCGCACCTTGAGCATGCCATGGAGTACAATCACAAGAATGTAGCAAAGCCAAGCTTGCTGTCGTGGCGCTGTCTAATTCTGCGGGCAACAAACTGCTGATAACAACTGTTGATCGAGCGGCTCACCATGGCAACGCACATGGCGCCAAAGACGCCCACCATGCCGAACCTAGGCCCAAGCAAGACTCAGCCAAACCCGCCTTTTTGCGGGCTCGTATTGTGCATAGCTGGTTGGTGCATTACACATTGGAGCGTTGCCGCTTTCCGGCCCAGTCAGGCGTGTCTTGTTTGAGGGTACCCCTTGTTGGGATCTTAAGAGAAGCCAAAAGCAAACCAGCCATTTTTGCGGTCCCCCTATTTTGAGACCTTTTTGCAACGGCCAGAAACGTCGCAACTTGGCCGCGGGCTTGCAGCCAGCATTGGCCGTAGACATCGTGGCAAGGCCAGCGATGGCGGCGATACACATCAGCGCGGAGACAGTGCTGACATCCTGGGAGAGGATTCCCGCTTGTCTGAACAGGGATCCTTACATTATACACCTGGCCTGAACTGTGGAAACAGCAACATGTTGCAAATTGGCAAAATGTATCTTTTAACGAGCCCTGCTGCAGCCCACTGCTTTCGGCACTGGGAGTGGCAAACGAAAGGCCCGGCCCTTGGCAAAAGCAACGAATCATTTCACTACTAAGTCACTAGTTCTGACAGTCGTGGGCAAGTGGTTGTTGCAAAATGGCAGGAGGAAAACAACTCAACTTATCAAGCAGCTTTGCAAAAGCGCTCGGCAAATTCCTCAAGCCTCTCAACGAGCTGCCCCGCCTTAAGAAGCTCCTTCTGGGTGAGGCAAGTAAAGAGGAAAACCAGGCCGGGCAGGAGCATGAACCCCGAGTAGTCCTTTTCCCCCCCCTTCCTGAGCACTTGCGGGCGTGTCAGGGAACGCGGTGGACAAATGCTTGGCAATAAGACAGGAAAATGTGGAGCGAGAGATCTGTGCAAGCTCGCAAAATGGGCGATAGCCTCCTAGACGAACATCTTGGAGCAGGCCGAATTCGCTCGCCCAAAAAAACGAAGCTCTTCGCGTGTGAAACAGTCAACTGGCACCTTCTGAGCAACAGCAGCAGTACATTATGGGTGAAAGACCCTTGCCAACAGGAATAAACAAACGTCAGACGTTTCAGGTTGGCTCAGCTGGTGTCAGCAGAGCAATTTGTGTCTGTGGGAATCAAGTATGACCACACCATCTAAACAGATTCCTCCCTCTACACACACAGGCTCCATGAACACTATGAAGACCCCCGCATCGGAGATTCACTCAAAGGGACTTGGGTGTGTTGTTCTTGAACTGAATTGGCTGAAAGGGAAACCACATTGGAAACGTACCCCGGTTTTTTTGGGGGGGGATTCCCCTTTAAGCCTTTACGACAAGCGGCTTCCCTTTGACATCTGAGAAATAAACCCCTTTCGGCTTTTGGCGTTTCCCCCAAAAACCCAGTAAGAACCCCAGTGGAGTTCCCAGTGAAGCTCCCCTAAAACCGCAGTGGAGTTCCCGAAAAACCCACTGAAGTTCCCCTCAAAACCCCAGTGGAGTTCGCCTAAAAACTCCAGTGGAGTTCCCCTAAAAACCCCAGTGGAGTTCCCGTAAAACCCCAGTGGAGTTCCCTCTAAACACCCCATAGAGTTCCCCTAAAAACCGCAGTGGAGTTCCCCAAAAACAATCAGTGGAGTTCCCCCAAAAACCCAGTGAAGTTCCCCTAAAACCCCCGTGGAAATTTCCCCTAAAAACCCAGTGGAGTTCCCCTAAAACCCCCGTGGAGTTCCCCAAAAACCCCGGCCGAGTTCCTTCGCCTCAAACCCCCGTGGAGTTCCCCTAAACCCCCAGTGGAGTTCCCCAAAAAAACAAACAGTGGAGTTCCCCCAAAACCCCCGTGCAGTTCCCCCAAAAAACCCCGTGGAGTTCCCCTAAAAACCCCAGTGGAGTTCCCCGAAAAACCCACTGAAGTTCCCCTCAAACCCCCCGTCCAGTTCCCCCAAAAACCCCCGTGCAGTTCCCCCAAAAACCCCCGTGCAGTTCCCCCAAAAACCCCGTGAAGTTCCCGCAAAAACCCCCGTGCAGTTCTCCCAAAAACCCCGTGCAGTTCCCCCAAAAACCCCCGTGCAGTTCCCCCAAAAACCCCCGTGGAGTTCCCCCAAAAACCCCCGTGCAGTTCCCCCAAAAAACCCGGTGGAGCTCCCCTAAATCCCCGTCCGAGTTCCTTCCCCGAAAACTCCCGTGGAGTTCCCCTCAAAACCCCAGTGGAGTTCCCCTAAAAACTCCAGTGGAGTTCCCCCAAAAAATTCGTGGAGTTCCCCTAAAACCTTCAGTGGAGCTCCCCCAAACAAATCCCCCGGCCGCGGCGCTTGAAGAGGTTCAGCATGCGCTGGGACACCACGAAGCCGCCGATGATGTTCACCGCGCTCACCAGCACCGCCACCAGCGCCAAGAGCTGCGCGGCGCGGGAGCTCCTCGAATGAGCCGCGAGCGCGGCCCACGTCCGGCGAACGAACGCGGAAGCCGCGGCTTCGAGCCCCGTATGTAAAAAAAGGAAAACCAAAAAAGAAAAACTAACACAAACATCCAAACACATGTCACTGATTTGGGGGGTGGTCAATATATTCCATTTGCAGGGCGCCCAGTTTTGACCATGCCTGATGGTCATCCCATGTTTAGAGGACCTTTTGACCCCCACATGGGCAAATGGCCACAAATTCGGTGGACTTCAAGTGCTGTTCTGGAGCCCTGCCCGGAGTGGCATTGCTGCCGAATGGCTGCGAGTAACTTGAAACATGGTGCTGCTTCATAGACGGTTTTTGGAGATGTCTGGCAAATCACCATGTCACCGATCCTGGCTGACGCAATGTGAGTGCCGGAACCGGCTGGCTGTAGGGAAAACTTGAGTATGAAAGGCCACACACCCCTTGTCATCACTTTAGCCCGAGGCACGAACGGTTCAGCAGGAGCAACCCGCCAATAGCAGTCGTGCCAGAAATTGCGTTGGTGACCTCACGTCAGGCTTGTTGGCCTGCCGTGCCTCTGATTCAACTTTTGTTTGCTGCAAAAGCCTGCGCACCCATCAGCAAGTCATTGTGAAGAAAACGTGGGTCAAAACCAATGGTACCATTTTGGGGTAGGTGCACCACCCATTTTAGTCCTTTTTAGTGGGGGATTGGGATGTTCACTGGGGGTACGGGCTTTTGACCCATGGCCATTTGGAGGCAACACGAAAGTCCATCTCCACTGACAAAGTGTCATCTCTGCCAGCCCAGTGGCTGACATCAACGGCGTGTGCAGGGCGTGCGCCACACCCCAAACTGCCTGGTATCCTGCAGCACCGGCCTCGGCACGAAATCAGGAAGCCATCCGGCATATGGGCGTGGCTCAAAATTCAAGAGCTAGGGTTACGCGGCTTTAGTCTTTGTTGCCATTTGCCAGGGTTCCATTTTGGGTACCCACTTTTGACCCACAGCCATATGATTGTTGCCCCCTGGGCCAGGCCCCAAGGAAGGAGTAAAGCGCGTGTTGGGGTCTCACATCCATTTTATAACTCTGGTGTGGGATGACTGGTTCGCTCTCAAGATGTGCCAAGCTGCCAAGAGGAAAGTGCTCAAAAGAGACGTCGACACGCCCTCACCTCGGCAGATTTCCACGCGCATCCACAGCGCTCAGGGCTGACCGCAACAGGAGACCTCTGCCCATTCTTGGCCCCCCTACATGACCTGCGGAATCCAGTTTGTTTGGCTGGGCGTGTGTTTCCGCAGTTGTTTCAGATTTCGGCAAAGTGGACCTTGTAAGTGTAGCATGTTCTGAAAGCTTAGCTTTGACAGCGCGGTTTGTGGTAGGTGTTTTGCCTATGCCATGAGCTCATGCCTAGCTAGCACGTATCTCGATCATGGGGCGTCGGAGCTTATGCTGATATGTTGCAGGTGCGGTTTGCATTTTCTTCACGTGTCTCCAAGCTCTTATACATGCCTTCGTCCACACGTCTTGCAAGTCTGGTAGGGTGTCATGCCCTGACCACTTCTTTCTGCAAGCCAGGAAAACCAGATTGCCAGTTGAATTGCCTAACTTGATTCTAACTTTCTAAAGCCTTCTTTTGATTTGCTAACTTCATTCTCACAAAAGTGGGCAAATCAGACCACCTCCCTCCACCCAGGAAAACGACCTCCAAAAAACCGGCCAACTCCCGGGCAGGGCTTCGCCTTCGCCCCTCGGCTCTCAGCTCCGCGCCCAAGCCCAGCATGCAGCAGATGGTGAAGGCGAAGGTTGCCGCGGAGCCCAGGGCTGGCGAGCGAAAACTCACCCCAAGGGTCCGGGACCCGAAATTTTCCGAGTCCCCAGAAACGGCCGGTCAAGAGCCAAATCTGGGTGTGGGTGTGGGTGGTGCCCCCAGTGAACAACCCAATCCCCACTAGAGACGAAAATGGGTGGTGCACCTACCCCAAAATGGTACCATCGCTTTTGACCCACAGCCAAATCACCCCTAGAGTCCGGGACCCAACTCCATTTTTCTAGTCCCCATCAACGGGAAGATTGGACTAGAGATGGAATTCCAGGGGTCACCCCCCTTCCCAATTCCAGCTTGAAGGCGGGGATAAAGCAACTGTTCCGGGTTTCAAGGCCTTTTTCTGGGGCATGGAGTGCCCTTGCCCTCTCCCCGCCTGCTTTGTATGGATCCGCGGCCTTCTTGGCCTGCTCTTGCGCGGACACCGGCTTGGCCTTGATGGGCGTGGGCTGCGGCGGCGGCGGCATAGCCACAGGGTTTCCGTTGCGGCAGCACACGATGCTGCGGGACACGATGTCGCCCTCCTCGCCCTTGTCCAGAGCACCGTACAAGTTCTCCAAGAAAGCCCCCGCCTTGCCTGGCATGGCTGGTTTGGCAATTCTGAAACTCGACTCATGACCGACCCTTCATTTAGAATAAATAGTGCCCAAGTGAGAGCTGTCCACTTTACCTCATCCTTATCAAGTGCGCGAGCATTGCAACCAGGCCTTTCTGATGGACGTGCCTGAGCAAGTTCGCCATGTTCTGCGCATACATGGCCGAGGCTTGCTGCGCCATGCGGGCGGGCAAATTGGCATAGCCTGCAAGAAGGATGCGCCACTCGGACAGGACATGGGTGGCGCTAGGGAATCGCTGCAGAGCATGCATAACAAATAAATCATGGATCTGTCTGGCATAACTTCAATCTCCTACCAAGCCCCTCTGCCAGAGATGGCAGAGACAGCACTGCCTGTGTGCTGGCTGTGCATGCAATCACTCCCTTCAAAAGAAAGTGGCTCAAGCCAGGGAGCCAATGATGGTAACGTTGTTCTCAGTGACAATGGTCTCATTGAGGCGTGTAAGCTCGCAATTGCCGCCACCAATGGCAGCCAGGTCTACAATGACCTCGCTCAAGCAAGCAGTCGACCGTCGACCCCAAAAACCCAACTGCTGCCGAGAGGCGCTGCCGGGCTTCATGGCAGACACTGCGTCCTTGGTGATGAGCAAAGGAGATGGCCTGGCGAAAAAACAAGAAAAAATGACGGACTCTGGGAAGGACTGCAACATGATTCTCACCGGCTTCTCACTCAGGCAAATTGTGTTTATATAGCGGGATCTCAACTGGGCGCCAGCCACTCGTTTTTGGGACGGAATCCCAGCAGTTCCTCGGATAGTTGTCGATCCGCAGCCAGTCCAAAGGGATGTCTGCTTCAAGTCTCCCTTTCGGCCAATGATCCGCAAACGATTCTGTACAAGGTTCCACGGCTCCATTCCCGATCTGTATGATGAAAGCAGCCTGAGGTGGCAAGAATTCGACATTGACATGCAGGTCTCGCCTCCTCAACTAACGATCTGGCTTGAAACTCAATGGATCTCGGAATACACCAGCCCACTCTGGCTTCGCATGCGAGGCCCGTGTCGCCAGGTTCATCTTCTCACCTTCATACACCCGAGTCCCCAAGGCATCGTTCGGTGGCTTCTCCTGTTGACCTTGAGCGTCAAAGAAAGGCAAACCGTACTCTGACTGTGTCGTGATGCGTCCTATTCACAGAAAGGCCAAACGGAAGGTCTCCACAGACTTGTCAGGCGGCTGCTTGCAATCCAGACGTTCCAAGTTGCACATGTCCATTTCCATGCTACGACCACTATGAGCTATTCATATGTCCCGGTTCCCAAGTTTGGGAAAATCCGCAGTTCCTGAGATCATGTCTCGGACGATGTTGGCATCAGCAGTCGTGATCTGAAAGTATTTGGCGTCGTGCAAGACCACAGTACCGAACTCCCCGACACTTTGCTTACGTGCTTCATGAGATTGAACGGTGGAGAGCCAGCGGTACTCGCCACTGGTGGGCCAGACATGTTGAGGAAAGTTGTACTCAGGGATCGAACAGGGGCCCTTGTACTGGTAGGTCATACCCAGGATGGGCAAGGGCACATCCGCTGGCCAAGGTGCTTCCCCAAGCAACAACCAGCTGAACCGTTTGCAAGTAATCTAGCGGCAGCGCCGCAAGCTGTATGCTGTTCCCCTGGTCAGGCCTAGATGTTCAAGATTTGCGGCTTGGCGCAAGTCCGCAACTTTGGCAGGTTTGAGCAGGGCAGGCTGTGAATATCTGAGGACAATGCACCGCAAGGTGGTACTCGAAAGGGGAAGACGCGTCGCATCGCGCGGAATCCCTCAAGGATTGATGGAGGGCCGAAGATGCCACCAACTCTGCCCCACAACCGTACCAATTGAGCCACTGCTGGTTGGTCTCTGGCCATGCCTTGCCCAGGTTCTCCCTTCCAAGGAAAATCATAAGCCAAACGCCCACGAATTAGAAAAGTCCAGCACTGGGGGGCCCCACACCTTCCCACGCGCGCCCGAGCGCGTGGGCCTGCCAGGGATGGCGGCGGTGCTGATGGCAATGTCGCACTCCGAAAGCACTTTTTTGAAGGTCTCCTGGACATGCGGTGGGCGGTGCGAGCAGTGCATGTTTCGGCTGTCTCAAGGCCACAAGTTGCAGACCGCAAGTTGCAGAGGGCGCAGGCCATGGACGCTGGTTCTAAGGGCAGTGCAAGCAACCACTCTTTTTGGCCTCTTGCAGGAAACCATTCTCTCACAAGCCGGATCCCCAAATTCCATCGTGAAGTGGGCTGGGAGGTCCTTCGGCCCTTCGGCCCTTCCCCCGGTCGGATTCGGGATCCTGCTGGACCTTCTTGAAGGCGTCGGAGGACTCCTTGGCGTAGCCGCCTTGGCCTTCCCCGGGCTCCTTGAACTCCACGGTGACCCACTTCGCGCCCATGGAGTGCACCTAAGCGCTCGGGCGAGAAAAAGGGAGAGATGTGTGGGGAAAGCTGAGAATTGGAATGACCCCCCAAGTGAAAAACAAAAAACTGGTGGTTTCCTTGGGGACCAAAGCCTGGGGTCATTCCATTTCACTCCCCGGGTTCGGTTCATTCCTGAAATTCCAAAGCTTATCCGCCCCGATCGCAAGAAAATTGCGGCCCCGAGAGCCGCAAGGTTGGCCGTGTTTCTTGGCATGGGACCTCATGGGAATTGATATCTGGACCCAAATGGTCTGATGATCAAACCCGTGGCCAAGCTCGGTCTACATACTCCAACGCTCTGAGCTTGGCTTAGCAGGCTTCGCAGCAAATGGTCCCTGCGGATTGTAGAGACAGTCTCCCACCAACTCTGCCGGGCACAAACCTACTTGCAAGAAAGCCTACCAGACCGGCACGAAGCAGCGAATGCATGCCCCGGCCCGGTGGGACGCGGCAAAAACATGTTGCATTGATGGATTTCCACCGTCAGGCTTCGTACCAACAGAGGTATGCGTTTGCGTCTGAATGGTGGAAGATTGAACAAGCAATCTAGGCACGGAAGTTGTCCGGCGACTTGGCAGTCAAAATCCCGAACCAGGCGGAACTACAAAGTGCTACCTTACTACCAAGAACAAGACTCAGAAGGAAAAAAACAAGTTACCATCGCAGGGAACATCTTTAAACCCTGGCACGTCGAGAGAATGGCGCTTGTCACCCCTACAACTTCAAACACAAAATGCAGGGTTCAGCCGTGGCTGAAGATTGCAATAACCGGTTTTCGGCTATCAATACTTGGCTAGGAAAATCAAGCATTCTCCGTTCACATGGGCACAGGAACAATTCAGACCTCCCGGAAGGTCAAACAACCGGGATGGCATGTCATTGTTTCCCCTGAATTGACTCTGAAGAAAAGGCTTGTATCCTAGTGCCACAGGATCCCGCTATAAGCCACCTAGGATCTCCTTTTTCCTGAATCTTCCTCAACAGGCCGTGGGTGAAAAATAGGTGCCCAAAACGGAACCCTGGCAAACGAAAACATGGAGTCAACCCTGCGGTCCCCGGGTCTAAGTTTGACCCACAGCCGACAATCCTTCTGAAATTAGAGGCACCCCAACTGTTTCTCGTTGCTACTGTGGGCGGACAAAATCCTGCACCACCTAAGACACCCTCGAATGACGATTTCCCTGTAGATACCAAGAAACCATGGTTTCAACCATGGTTTCCAAGTGGTGCGAAGTGGATTTCGTCCATCCACAGTATGCCGCGCTCCCACGCCGAGCTCCAACGCCGCGCCTGGTCCGAGACGTCTCGCACGTCCCAGGCTCGCACCACGGAACCCAGAGCCTGGCGTCGCCCAGCTTCGCCCGCAATTTTTCAGCGCGGAGCTTCGGAGAAGCCGCCGCCGTCTTGCAAACAAAGACATGGGGGCTGAACCAAAGGTGCGGTAAACGTGGGACCATTGGTTGGAAACCCACGAAAAGGACGATGTTTATTTCAACCACATGGGGAGGGTTCCCCTTCACTTGCGCGCCCTAAATGGAATATGCGCTTCCCAAGAGGGGCCGCCAGGCCAAGTACGCTCGCTTTTATCCTGCCACAGCAGTTGGTCTCCAGACTTGTTCGCCCAGAAGAATCCTGGTAGGAAGATCAAGTTCTCTGTTTATATGGAATAGCCTCTGACAAGTATGCGACCTTCACACACTTCAAAGGAATCCAAATAACACAAACATTTCCGTTGGACAGCTGTTGCGCTGGGAAATCCATATCCCCTTCTTATCGATGCCACGTTAAACATTTCCGTCAGACAGCTGTGCCTTGCATGTGCTCGGACACGTCGGAGGAATCCATATCCCCTTCTTCTCGATGTCACCTTAAACATTTCCGTCAACCAGCTGTGCCTTGCATGTGCTGAGACACGTCGGAGGAATCCATATCCCTTCTTCTCAATGGCACCTTAAACATTTCCGTCAGGCACCTGCGCCTTTCATGCGATGGGCAAGGAAAAGCTCGTGTGGTGCCGATCTCGGCAGAATGGGCATGCACGCTCCTTGACGGAGCCTCTCACAAACCAAGCTCGGATGCACTCGTCATGGAAAGCATGATTGCACTTGAGTGCGACCAATGCTGTGCCACTGGGGGCATTTTCTAAACATATTCCACAACATATCTCATGGTCAAGCCGCACTTCTTCAAAGCTGGCTTCGAAGTCTATCTCCTTGCCACCGGCCTCGCGCTTCCTTGCCCGGCAAAATTGGGCCATCACAAAGATGGACGTGATCGCCCAAAAGCCGACGGCAATCAGCACTCCGACCACAATGTGCAGTTCCATGAGAGCTGGGCCAATGCCCGACAAACCCGGCCGGCTTGAGCAGAAAATGCTACCGGGCAACTCAGTCGCGAACCTGGAAATCATCCCTCTCTACTTAGTTGCCTGTGACGAAGTACAAAGTGTCAAGGCTCTCTATGGTACATACTCAAATTCACCTCCAAAACACGCGCGCGCATCTTGACCCAGCTATGGCTGTGGGTCCAAAAAATGGGTGCACGTGTTGAACCAAGGACTAAAACCTGCGGTCCGATTCCGGGTGGGTTAATTTCCCATACCCTTCATAGGTGTCACAAATGGCCCTGGTAAATGGAATGCAACACATCTAAACCAGTGGAACCTATCTATGTCTAAACAAACTCACCCGAAAAGGACACCTCATACTCCTGTTAGGCTTTCTCAATACTGCAAGAGAACTTGCAATGGAAATTCTGCAAACTCCGCATGTGAGTCATAGTCAAAACCCGGTAGTAAAATGGTCTACCCAGAACAATGTGAAGAATTAGGAAGGCGGATATCCGCAGCTAACCTTGCCATGGGTCAAAACCCTGTACCCCCGGTGAACATCCCAATCCCCACTAAACTAGGTTCTAAAATGGGTGGTGAATTCACTTACCATTTTCAGAATGGGATCCCAAAACGGTTTTGACCACCACAGCCACCTTCATCGCCCTACCCGGGGTCTTGAGCACGTGGCCCATCTACCGACTTACCGGAAACCGATGGCATCATAGGTGTCCTTTTTGGAAAATAAGTGGATTTCCCTAGATGATTGAACCACCGATTTGGCAACCAGGAATCGCCTTCTACCCAACCTACTTTTTTAAGCAAAAACCCACCAAAAAGGACACCAACCACCAAAAAGGATACCAAAAAGGATACCAAAAAGGATACCAACTCAACCACCAAAAAGAATCGCAATCCCCAACCACCAAAAAGGACACCAACTCGGAACCGCTTGGAACGATGGCCGAACCGCTTGCGCCTTGGAGGTGCCGATGGCCGCCAGGCCCGCGACGCCGCAGCCCAGCACAAAGGTCTGCGCCGGCGGGTACTTGCCTCGAGTCCAAAAGGAACACTTGTTCGGCCGCAACCACAAACGGGAGGGAAGGGGGGGGAGGAGCCGGCGTGTCCTTCTTTTTCTTTTTTTTGGTGTTTCACCAGCCCTTTAAAGCCAAAAAAAGGAAAAGGGTACCCAAGAATGTTGTTGGGCGTCCTTTTTCCAGGTGAAAGACCCCCCAAAATGGCGAGTTCGGGCTTTGTCTTGGTGTCCCTCTAAAAACCAATAAGGTGGGATGCCCTCCAGCTCACCGGCCAGAAAGCGACTCCTGGAACCTCGACACGGATCCTGGCACCTGCCAATTGCCCAAGCCGCGCGCCTGCAGCGGTCATCTCTGCCGTGTGGAAGCGCTGGTAGGAATGGGCTGCCTGGTCAGGCGCTCAAATTCTCAGCTGAAATTCCAATTTCCGGCGCTCAAGGAGGTCGACTTACCGCTTTTCGCGGTTCATCGGTATTTCGCGGCAGCAGGGATTGCTCAAATTGCAGCCTTGAGCTCTTCCGGTTCTTGCAAGATGCCCGCCTCCAGCACAGCTCGGTGCCCTGCAACCTTCGCCTGGGAGCTGAGCACGTCCTGCCAGACTTGTCAGGCCGAAAGATCCAGAAACGCCGCCTAAACAAGCTTTCAGCGATTGAAGAAGATCAAAGCGCCGAGCCCGCTATTGCACAGGGCAGCGACCACCGAGGCTCAGACCAAAAAAAAAGAAAGACCAGCGCACTGCTCCAAGAACCCTCCAACATAACTTTTGAGCATACCCCAACCCTCCCCTGAAAATGATTCCTTTCATTTGGAGTCCGGGGTATGCCAGCAAGTGCAAACTATCAGTCCAGCTTCTGGGCGATTGTGATCCGTGGCACTGCCGTAACGTCCACCATGGTGATCCGGTATTGGTTCGCCTGGCAACGAAAGCTCAGCTTGCGACTAGTTGGTGGTTTGGATTGGTGGTTTGGATTGGTGGTTTGGATTGGTGGTTTGGATTGGTGGTTTGGATTGGTGGTTTGGATTGGTGGTTTGGATTGGTGGTTTGGATTGGTGGTTTGGATTGGTGGTTTGGATTGGTGGTTTGGATTGGTGGTTTGGTGGTTCAGGAGGGATGTCCCATTTGCCTTAAATCTCCAAAATCCGAACCACCAGCTCCAGGGCTACCTGCCGTCGACCTACACGAAGAGCAAACAGAGCGGGCTATGAGACGACATGCGTGAGACAGGCGGCTGAAATCAGTTGGAGAACCTTGTGCCCTGCCATGACATGATGAAACGCATGCACATGATCCAGGCTGTGGCCTTCACCTTGTGAAGTTTAGGTGGTGCCAATCAGCGGCGCAACTGTCATCACTCGATCAAATGTCAGACGTTGAGCCCAATTGCCAGCACTGCAAGCAGATCCACTGCTTGATGAAGTTTACTGACATATGGAGTGGGACACATATGGCCATGGGTCAAAAACCCGTAATCCCAATCCCCACTAAAATAGACCAAAATGGGTGCTGCACCTAGCCCGAAATGGTACCATTGGTTTTCACCCACAGCCATATGTTCAATCGGAAAGCAGCTGGTAAGCCAAACTGGCCTTCAGGATCAAGTCCTTGCCCTTGTCCTGCAAGCGCCCTATCCAACTGATCAGCACCTTGCAGTTCATTCTGGGGAAGTCTTCCGCTGGCGGCTCCAAGGCAAAGAGCACCTGGGCGCATCAAGCCACGACCGTTGCCATCCTCCGACACCTGAGTCACAATTAAAACACGGTATTAAAACTGGTCTACCCAGAACCGTGTAAAGAATTTAGAAGGCCGCAGCAATTTCTGGCTAGCCTTCATCTACCCGGGGTTTTGATTGTGACTCACCTGCTTCTTGGCCAAAAGAATACTTCCGACTGCTCTCCTTTCCCCCATCAACTTGGGTCATAGTCAAAAAAACCTGACCCACAAAATGCCCTAGCCTACAGAACCAACAAAAAGGCGGCTTTCCGCAACCATTTATGGCAAGGGGATGATATCCCCGTGGCTGAAGCTCCGACTGCATCCACGCCAACCCCGCCTGGGACGCGTCGATGGTATCCCCGCGGCTCTTGATCTCGCAGCCCTTGGACGCGTAGGCCTCGTCCGAGTAGCCCGCGAACATGCCGGCGCCTCGCCCGCAAAAAGCAACAACGCGCACGAAGACGGGTTTTTTTTACACCCCTGCGGAAGATTCAACGAGTACTAAAAGAAAATACTGTGAGATGAGACAAAAAGCACAGATCCAAGCCGTTTTCTGGAGGCGTGTATCTGTTCGGCTGCGTGAACTCTCACAAAAGACAGCTCGTTTGGGGCCCTGGAGCGATGCTGCTTGCCAATACTCACGGCAGAAAGTGCGGCGCTGCTATTAGATATATATATATATATATGTATATATATATATGCAACATCCATTTTGAGGAGCGAGAGCTGATGCATGGCGAGCGGCTTTAAATTGTGCACTGTACAAACCATGCTATTGACAGTGCGTGCGGGGCATTTAATCAACTGAAAATAGAACTGATTGAAACATGGCCAACCATCAACACACAAGCCACCACATCAGCAGGAAATGACAAGGCAAATGAGCTGGATCGCTCACATCCCGCCTCGCTCTACCACAACTGCGTAGCCGTCCTGCCGCCCGTGAATCAAGACCAGCAAGAAATATGGAATTCTGCCGTCTAAACAGAAGAGTGTCTGTGGCTCCCATGGATTCAGCAAAAGCGAAAGCTTGTGATGAAGCTTCTCCTTGATGAGAGATTCCGCCACATCAGGAACCATGCTGACACGCTGATCACCTGATGCAGAAGTCGCCGCATTGAGAGGTGAACCGGAAAACTGGTTTCACGCGTGCTCGGTTGATCGGTTCTCGATCCTGATTTCCCAGAGCAGGATTGTGCCCTCATCACCAAACCGTGGTCATCGGGCAAGCATCCTGAACATTGCAAACACTGCACACGGTGCTGGTCTTGTGTCCCGTCACTGAAAAAAAAAAAAAAAACAAGAAACCAACTCACGTAGGGATCAATTCCCAAGCCACCCCTCCGCAAGCGATTCAAATTCTTGTGAGAACCCTCTGGCCTTTGCTGACCTTCGCGTCTGGGCTGAACCCCTCACTCAGCACGCCGAGGACGCATCCAGGCTTGGCCTGTGACGCGGGAGCCGCTGAAACTTGCAGCTCAGCATCGGATCAGCGGCCCCACCGTCTTTCAACTTCCCTTCAGAACAAGCGCTCCTGCCTCCCATGGCATGGCGGCTGGGTGTAACATGCAGGTACGACAAGTGAGTGGCCTTTACTTCTATCAGCAGTCCTTCACCATTGCAGCCTTTCCAGCTTTCAAACACTTGGATTGCCTGGACGCGTATCCAAATCCTCGCGCCTTGTCATCCTTCAGCAGCGGAGTTGCCGATGCCATCGGTCTCACCTTCCCCGGGCTCCCTGAACTCCCGGCAAACAGTTCCACGGGTCCACCGGATCGCCCCTCCCCCCGCTCGCTCGCCCCCGTGCACCTCACGAGACTCGGGAATACCCCACGGACCGCCCCAGGCACGCCAGAAATTGCTGCGCGGGGCGGGGCGTAGTCCAAGCGCAAAAGATGTGCGGCCAAAATGCTGGCAACTGTGCGGCATTCATTGAGCCTCACCCCGCGCCATGCTAAGACCAGGGGAAATCTCCGAAAGCTCTCAGTTTCTCAGGTCTCCGTGCGTGCGCCCGGGCTGCTGAAATTGGCGGCTTGCCCGGGAGCAACATGGCCGGCAGGTGTGAGCTGTTCACAGCACTCACAGCTTGCGTCCAAGTCTGCCATCGATCTCGAGGGGTGAGATCGCTAGTTTGTTTCTTGACGGCTATTCAGATGCAAACACTTGAAGAACATCTCAGGAGGGAAGACCATCGAGATACGCACCCTCCCTCCCTCTAGCTTGGACGCGCATGCATGCATGCATACATACATGCGATGCATGTCTTCAATGTGGCTGGAGCAATGAAAACAAACCTGCGGACCTGACCATCCCTCGGAATCAACCGCAGAACCATGACCTGCTGCTCCCTTTTTTTCCGCGCTCTTTCTCCGCGCAGCCACCTGAAGTTGCCTGGACGCAGCTGGGCAGTGTGGGAAAAGGGATGGGTCGTTTCGGGCATTTGGTGATAGGCGTTGTTCTCCAAAAAAAAAATCCATCGGCAAAGTGTCACATCGCATTGCCATCCTTTGAGCATGCCCCTTCTTTATGGGATCCTTCCATCGCGTTGTTTCCCCCCCCCCCCCGGGTTAGCAGAAACAGGCCCCCGCCTGTCACGCGGCCTTCAGGTTGGCAGCCTGGAACATGCCGGAAATCGAGGCGTGGTGATTCTAATGACCCATCGCCATGCGATGACCCTCTAACTTCCTTATCGCGCTCCTTCCAAGACATATGTCATTCGACTACCAGCCTAAGCCTTGCCCATCCAAAAGCTTGACCCGTCGCTTCCCCCAAATTGCACTCTCCCAGCACAGCCTCGTACGATGCCATCTCACAGATCCCGAAGCCAGCCAGCAACATGTGCGTCGCCATCAAAACCCGGAATTAAAACAACATACTCCACCCAGAACCATGTAAAGAACTTCGAAACGCGGATCTCCACACCCAAATTAGGGAAGGGACGAATTCTCCGGCAACCCAAAAGACACCTTCATCCATCCCCCGGGCTTTCCGCGCAAAACCCGGCCAACCTCCACCCACCCGGCACGCGTCGCCTTGAAGAGCGCCTCGCGGCCCTTCACAGCCACCACCCAGCGCTCTTTCGGCCGCACGAAGCGCCGCAGCTCCCCGCGCTGGCGCGAGGCGCGGCGAAGAAGCTCTCGATGGCGGGCCGAAGGTAGCGGTTGAAAAGTGATGCGGTGCTTTGGTCCGAGTAACCAGTGGTATGGAAGAACCTGTGGTATGGGAAACCTGTGGTGTGCAAAAACCTGTGACATTGTGTCGATCTTTGAAAAGGAAGGGGGTGAAGATCTTTGGGAATGGCGCCTGGCCATTCAGCTGTGGCACCTTCTCAAGCCCCACCACCAGCACCTGAAGCACAGATGCCGTGTACAGTGCATACTGTGGATGGACAAAATCCTGCACCACCTTAAACACATGGGAAACCACTGTTTGTTGGTATGTACAGGGGAATCATCATTCCAGGTTTCTTAGGTGGTGCAGGATTTCGACAGTATGGGCAGTAGAGATTGAGCATCGTGGTTGCCCCGAAAAGGGGGTAACATATGCGGACTAGAGTTGCGAGCTTCAGCTCTTTGTCCGTGCGGCCATGACTTTGCCGGCATGCAGCGCATGCTTGCCTGGCCGTACCTTCTTGATACTGTGGAAGGACGCATCCATTTCGCGCCAAGCCTGGTTGAAACCATTGCTCATTCGTTACAAGGGAAATCAAAAATCATTCCAGGGCTTCTCAGGTGCGAAATGGATTTCGTCAATCCACCGTGGGTTCACGCGGGCCATCGCCAATGCGCCCCAGGGTCCTCGCCTCCTCACCCGCACGCAGAGCCGTCTTGCCTGCTGCAGGACAAACCTGAGCGCAAGAGATCCTGCGAATCAATGCTAGAACCACATTCTGCTACCAGATCCCTGACCAGAAAGAACTCTATTTCGGGAACAGCTCCAGAACATCTCCTCTTTCACGGCAAACTTGGATCCCTTCCAACCAAGGCCAGGTGCATGCAGCTGGCGCAGATTCTCAGCAGCCAGCGGAGACGTGCCACTCCCTCGAGTCGAAGCCTAGAATTCCAGCGCCAAATTCTGGGCAAGAAATTTGCGGTGGGGAGTTGTGCCCACCGACCACTTTTCTTTTCCCCCCCAAAAAAAAAACAGAAAGAAAAGAAAGAACACATTGCCGTAGATCATCTTCCCAAAGAAGTGTGATGGCCTGCCCCGCAGCTGGGGCACGCTTCGCGGACGAAGCCTGAGCAGCTCAAAGAGAAACTCCCCAAGTGCCAGGTTGGAGACGTGAACAGCAGTCAGCTTTGGCCATGGGTCAAAATCCAAAAGCCCGTACCCCCAGTGAACATCCGATTCACTCCAACCACTAAAATAGGTTCTAAAATGGGTGGTGAATTCACCTACCAACCAAAATGGGATCCCATTAGTTTTGACCCAGAGCCATTTAGCCTCTGTTGGATGACACTGGCATTCAGAACTCCATTGACGTCAGCCCGCAGCCAGGTTATGCCCCATCGCCTCTCTCGAGAAAAACTCGGCGCCTGAGTCCAACCAGGTCTGGCCAGCACCGGCACCGATCACCTGAAGCCGCAAATGCAAAAAATCTAAGCCAACATGGGGACCACAAGCTTTAGTCCATGTGTCCATTTGCCAGGGCAACCCATTTTGGGGTTCTCCTAGTTTTGAACCACATCCATTTCCGGAAAGCCCCGCAAACCTCGTCACTTGGTAGACGGCCCGCCGAACGCAGAGCTGGCCTGATCCAGCACCATGGCAGCGAAGCCACGGGCCGCCTCCTGATGCCAACAGGGAAGGACGGCAGGTGAGTCATAAGCAAAACCAGTGGAAACCAGGGGTTTGTTGGTTTGTTACAGGGGAAACCATGGGTCAAATAGTCAAATAATCAAAACCCGGTAGTAAAATGATAGACCCAGAACCATGTAAAGAATTGAGAAGGCGGATATCCGCAGCTATTTATGGCAAGGGGACTGTCCCTTACTAACCTTCATCTATCCGGGTTTTGATTGTGGCTCTTGTGACGACAAGGTGGCTTTTTTACCTGGAAAGCGGAGATTGCAAGCAAGCAAAGCTGGTTTCCTTGTCCATGAATTGCGCGTCACATGATCTGGGGGTTGACTGTGTAAGGCAAATGCGTGTGCACAATCTTCAACAAAACCCAATCTGGCTGATTCCGCGCAAATGACTGGCTTGAATGATCATGGATCCCTGGCGATAGTGACACTTAGGGGAAACTTGGCCATTCTCAAGACCTCACCGGCCCTCCTCGTCTGCTCCATCTTCACCAGCTTGTGCCCCACGCATCGCACCCTTGCACGGCGCACGGAGGCAAGTCAAATCTCCCCGCCAAACAGTAGCAGTGCAGTGGGAAACCTCGTGAGGTTTTGCAGTACTCGTTTGGACAAAGTGTTAGCTGTTGCTAGGTCCATAAGATTTGCCTGACATGGGCCTCCAAATGTGGCTGGCTATGTCTGAGGAATTTGACAAGCGTCCGCACAAGAACCTCCTTTTTCCGGAAAGCGATGGATGAAAACACCCCGGTAACCAAGCTCAACGTGGCAGGCAATAGCGAAATCAGTGCACTGATCTCGGCCAATGGATACTCGCTGCAAATGTGCGATTGGCAGCAGACAGAAGACATACCAAAGCTGTACGTACCTCTCTGATCACTCGAGCGTGGCCAGCCGTCATTTCGCGCCTTCAGTGCACAACGTGCGAAACAAATCTCTGCAGCAAAGCGGGGGGGGCGCGGGGAAACTTTTTTTGAAGCTTGTCCAGACTCACAAGGTGGGGGAAGAAAAAAAAGCTGCGAGGGAATCGGAGGATTCCCCGCAAAATTCGCGCACCTCTCAAGCAAGAGGAGGCTCGGGACTGCAAATGTTTGGATGCGATGCATTCGCGCCTCCAAGAGCAGGCTAGATGCTTCCCTTGATTTGTGACATCTGTGGATCAAAACCAATGGGATCCCATTTTTGGGTAGGTGCACCACCCATTTTAGTCTGTTTTAGTGGGGACTGGGATGTTCACTGGGGGTACGATTTGGATTTTGACCCATGGCCACATGTCCCTTGATCAGCCTTGGCCACCAATAATTCTCCGCTTTGAAGGCCTGCCCTCCTCCACTAACATGGGAGGGTACCTGGAAGATTGGTTTCCTCTTCAAGGGACCCCATGTCTGGTGCTATGTTAGTTGGGAAGGGGGTAAGAATCCCTCTGTCACCACTATCATCGCCATTGTTCGGTTCAAGCAATCCCGCAGGCCACAAGCGGCTTGCAGTGCGAGCAACTCCCTTCGAAGGTTTCCGGGTCCAGGCGCCCACGCCCACTTCACAAGACGACACCAGCCCCAGCACTGCTCAAAAACATGTGCAAAACGGTGTTTGCTTTGCTTGAATCCTAAACTTCTTCCTGGCCCCTGGCATGTGGTGTCCCCGCTCCGGACATGCAACTCTCAGATCTCCAGAAGCATTCTGCGCGGGTCCTGGCCAAAAACTTTCATCTGGCCAAAGGACTGCCGTGGCCCTCAATCGGCCGCAACCCGCTGTCCTCGACCTGATCTCGCACCATGCAAAGGAACGTGACGGCCTGCGGGCGAGCGTCATCAGTCAGCTTTGAAATTGCAGGTTTCTGCCTTTTGGTGTGCTTTGAGCCTGAGTTTGGAGACTTCATCTTGAGACTAAGCACGCCTCACGGCCGTCGACCAAGCGATGGTCGTAGGTCAGCGCTAGGTACATGATTGGGCCTTCACGGGCATTGCGCGAGTTGAACTCGAGAGATGTCCACAACGCACGCAGTTGTGGCCCTTCGTGCCTTGTTTGTTTGGGGGGCGACTGCCGCAGTCCGTGGACCCGTTTCCTCAGGGGCAGCCCTACTTGAAAGCTGCTTGAGCGAGCTGCGGATGCCGATCTCCCCGTTGGGCAGCACCACTGCCCTGTCCTGGCAAAGTCATCCGGGCGAGGGGCTGGGAGACCCCAGCAACTGCCCATCAGGTGCATCAAGGACGAAAGGGACTGCCTTGCTCCAGAATTGAGACCATCTCCGCAAATCGGTCTGCCAAATTTATCTTACAGATTCCAATATTTTGCTGTCGGTCAAAAATAGGGTAATCCCAAAATGGGTTGCCATGGGAAAGGAAAAGAAGGAATAAAAATAAAACTGCGGTCCCCTGGTCTAATTTTGACCCATACCCATTTGAACCCAATCCCGTGAGCCTGTTTCCAAGATCGGAACCTTAACTGTTTTTTTTTCTCATGGCCCGCCTTGGTCGCATGCAAGCCCAGCGCTGCAGCGCTGCTAGTGGAACCGATAAGCCTCGCGTGCCGATGGTCATTCGAGGCCAGGAAATGGGAAGCGGAGCACTGCTTCGGCGGAGTGCGAGCTGCATACGCTTGAGCGGGGCGAAGACGGAGAGCGGAGCAAACACAGGGAAGAGCAGAAAGAAAAACACACCCGCGGGGCAGAACAGCAAAGAGTACGGAGCAAGTTGGGAATAAGAGCTGGGAGAAGAGCGGAGGGAAGAGTGGAGAGAAGCGCGGAGAGAAGAGCGAAGCAAGTGGGCAACAGGCGCAGAGAGAAGAGGATGGCTTTTAGAGGGACCCAAACATAGGCGAACCTTCGGCCTTGTTTTTTTGTGCGTGTTGTTTTTGTGTTTTTGTGTGCTTTCTATACTTTCTTCGGGCCTTAATACCAGCAAATCTGCGGTGGGAGGCTCCATGCGTGTGACGTGTTGGCGAGAAGTCCCTGAGCCAGGCACGGGGTGCCCAGCATGCTGCCGAAGACGCCTGCTGCAAAAATTGCTCGCAAGCACGAGCAATTCGCAACCCATGTCTGGCCATGACAGGCATTGGACCAGAGGCTTCGCAGCTTCAAGTTTCAATCTGAATTGTCAAAGTTGTCGAAAGCATGGCCAGGATCTATTTTCTCTCTGCTTGCCAATGCGACACGCCAAATCAAGGCTCATGCCAATGGACAAGCTACACCTGCTCAGTCATCCCTCAGCTGCTTGCGCCCCGTTGGCAATCTAAACTTAAATGGCTGACCCCCTCCCCCAGTATAGCCTAAGTCCTTTTGCCCTTGGGAGCCAATCGGGTGACTGAGACTCAAAGCGCACAGCTTCGCTATTCGCATTGATACGATTGGTCTGCCTTGCTGGCAATCTTGAGAAAAAACGACCCCTGGACTCATGATTTGCATCAATGCTCACCCTTCTGTCCATCTTGGGCAGGGGATTTTTTCATCCTTTAAAGCTTGCGTCCGCGTTTGCCTGTTGCAGCGAACCAAAGCCCTTGGCGACCGAGTGACAGGGCTGGGCCAATGCAACAGGCAACCTCTCTGAAGCTTCGATTTGCCACCTGTGGCCACGCGAGCGGCCATACATTCTTCAGCTGAGCTTGACCAAATGCTTCTTCGTGGCCACATCCGGGCCATGCAAAGCATTAAGCTGGAAGGGAAAGCGCTCGAAACGCCAAACCTTTGAGCGCTCCGGAAGGGCCGGTTTCGCCTCAAGGAGGCCAAAAAGACCCGCTGGGGAACGGAGCTCGAGACGTTGCCTCCGAGCCTCTGAAACGCCAGGAGGCGAGGCAATGCAACGTCCGGGCACTTAGTCCTCGAGCATGGCAAGCACGGTCCAAAGACAAATGGCACCAGCCCTGGACCCACGTCTCATCTCCATGATGTCCTTTCCGCGTCTTCCTCCTTCTGGCATCCTTTGTTTCATTGCTTTGTGTCTTCTTGTACTTCGTCGTTTGGATGAAGCATTCTTTTTTGACACCATACCCAGCCTTGGCACCCTGAACACGTGGGCAAACCCATTACATCAGACTTCCGACACTTCACGACACTTCACGGTAGATCCATGCTCTGTTCTTTCATGTCATGCCAGCGTTTCGCAACTGGCAATCTCGAGAATTTCGGTCCAACTCGCAACATCCATTCAAGTAGGGCTTAAAAGCCAAAAGACTGTTGCTGTGGCAAAGCAAACAACTGCAACTTGCTGATATACCTGGAAGCATCCCTCCTGCCACCCCTCACCCCCCCCCCTCACCACCCTGCAAACTGTGTTTCCTTGGGGTTGGATTTGCCAACTTAAGCTTAAGCAAACTCTCCAGCGTGCTGCCAGCAGGGCGAGGTCGGAGGCAGAACAGGTTTGATAACTCAGGGCACGGCGTTCAAGTGATTGGATGTGTTTCGCCAGAAAAAATGCCGAGAAGCTTTCAAAATCGACTTGGTTCCCCGAAAGCTGGAATTGAGCCGTGCTCAAAACCGATCGCGACTTGGTTGAGTGCTCCTTCGCGGAGCTTTCGCGGAACTTTCGCGGAGCTTTCGCGGAGCTTTCGCGGAGCTTTCGCGGAACTTTCGCGGAGCTTTCGCGGAGCTTTCGCGCGCATGCGTTCCTTGCGCGGCGGCTTGTTTTGCATCAACCCTTTCGCGGCGCTTTTGCGGCGGCTCCTTGAAATTAGCAGGGCAACTTTTCAGTACAAGCAGAGTACACCAAGTACACTTGGTAGCTCCAGCTTGAAAGTCACAACTTTTCAGAATAAGCGTGGCACGCCAAGAGCACTTCGGCACCACCCCTTGGATCCTGGACACATGCCTTTCGCGGAGCTTTCGCGGCAATCCCCCGCACTTTCCAAACTGGGAACAAGTGGCCCTTACGCGGAGCTTTCGCGGACCGAGCTTTCGGAAACGCTTTTGCCAGCTTTCGCAATGCAGGGTGTTCCTTTCGCGGAAGCTATTTAGGAAACCGTTTAGACAAAGATCATCGTGGGGGTGTTGGGTGCTGCTCAATTGAGCATGACTTCTCAAGCACGACTTGTCAGTATCTTCACATGACATGCACAAGGAAATTATATCAGTTGAGGTTGGTAGCACACAACCGCGACCTTGCACTGATGAAAAGATTTTCTGCCTCCCTTGGGATCTTGGCCGGCTTGGCTCATTGCCAACGGGGACTGTGCTCCGGCGATGACTTGAAAAGTTGCCGAATTGCAGACTGGCGAGCCCAAAAGAGCGCCGAGCCTTGCTGGTTGCTGGCATTTGCTGGCCCTCAAAAGAGATCCTTGTACAGCAAATCACTTGCGCTCTTACGCTCTCACGTAGGGCTCATAGGAACATAACAGTTGGGGGGTGAGACTCGGACGCGGCGGAGGCAGTTTTCTGGCCCAGCATGGGGCTGATATCTTCAAAGCGCCCCGCGCGAAAGGCCAAGAAAGCGTCGTTGGCTGCCCGCCCTTCAAAAAGACCTGGCACTGCCGTCACGTGCAGGCCACAGGCCACGTCGCCCTCTGCTCGGAGTTCACAAATTAGAGGTA